ATTCCCGGACAGGGCGAAACGTTAGGTATGTTTCCTTACTCGGCACACTTCTGTTTACCTGCAGTAAGTAGGAACCTGGTTCTTAGTTGAGTGTTTGATCGCTTTTCCGGGGATAATAATCCCTTCAAAAAAAGGAATAACAACAACAACAACATTAACAAGGTTCCATTTATAGAGCGCCTTTCACGTCGGGAGGACCTGAGCATTGGGGGGAAATGGTCAGGGTGAGGGGAGGGGGGGAGCGAGGAGGGGGAAATGGTCAGGGTGAGGGGAGGGAAGGGAGGGGGCGAGGAGGGGGAAATGGTCAGGGTGAGGGGAGGGAGGGAGCGAGGAGGGGGAAATGGTCAGGGAGAGGGAAGGGAGGGAGCGAGGAGGGGGAAATGGTCAGGGTGAGGGGAGGGAAGGGAGGGGGCGAGGAGGGGGGAAATGGTCAGGGTGAGGGGAGGGAGGGAGCGAGGAGGGGGGAAATGGTCAGGGTGAGGGAAGGGAGGGAGCGAGGAGGGGGGAAATGGTCAGGGTGAAGGGAGGGAAGGGAGGGAGCGAGGAAGGGGGAAATGGTCAGGGTGAGGGAAGGGAGGGAGCGAGGAGGGGGGAAATGGTCAGGGTGAAGGGAGGGAAGGGAGGGAACGAGGAAGGGGGAAATGGTCAGGGTGAGGGGAGGGAGGGAGCGAGGAGCGGGTAGAGAAATAATAATTCGGTCACTCAATCCACGACTGTTCGTGGGACACTGCTTGTGCGCAATGGGCTGCCACGTTTCACCATAAAATATCCAGTGTATCCTGTGAAGCGCTTTGAGACGTCTTGAAGAAGTGATAAGGCGCTGTATCAATATAAGGATTATAATTATTATTGGGAGGTATGAAACCTACGTGCCCCTCTACTTACAAGTTCTTCCAATAATCGGAGGGTCTGTTTCAATTGTATATTTTTTATCAGGCGCTCGTGCAGGAAGGCAGTTTACTTCGAGGCGTTAGGTTAATGTTTAGCGCCACTTTAAGACACTGAGCCCATTGAGGTGGTATAATGGCCCTACATTACCATTGTTGGGAATCGGCTCATTAGGGTCTCTTGTGAGTCACCTCCTCATAAGCTTTAACACAAGGTCATTCCTTTCAGTGTATCACCTGGTATGCAGTGCCTCGTAAACCTGTACTCGCCCCAATTATAATTCTGTTGTGCGAGTCTTGAGTGTGATAAAGCACAATTGTCTGGGCTATTGTGCTCGCACTACGCCACAGTGTGCTGACCAACTCAAATTTGCAAGACTGAGGTGGATAGGTGTTGTTCGGTCAGGGTATCAAGGGATATGGAACAATGATGGGTAATTGGAGTTGAGGTACAGCTCAGCCGTGATCTACAACAACAGCAACTTGCATTTACACAGCACCCTTCACGCAGGAGAGCGTCCCAGAGCGCTTTTGACAGTGGCGGAGCCCGACACTTTAATACAACGTTTAATAGATTCTTTCACAGAATAGAGAAACAGGCTCGAAGGGCTGAATGGCCTACTCCTGTTCCCATGAGGTGGATAATCAATTTTGTCTGGGGGGGGGTGGGGGTGGGGGTGGGGCGGGGGAGTATTGGTCTGGATAACCAGTAGACACCCCTTCCGCTTTTCGTATAATAGGGGTGGAATCTGGACGGTCAGGAATTTGGACCCGAGCTGGGGTTTGGATCAGGAGGGGTGGAGGGCAGGGAAGGTAGGGGTAGGAGGGTGACCGAAGGCACGGTCAAAGAAGAGGGTCTTGGGACGGGTCTTGAAGGAGGTAAGGGAGGGAGCGAGGCCAAGGGGCGGTGGGATGGAGTTCCATCGGAGGGGCCAGAGAGGCTGAAGGCCCGACCACTGGTGGGTAGAAGGTCACAGAGGTGTGGAGGAGCAAGGCTGCGGAGGGCCATGAAGGTGAGATCAGGTAACAATGGCTACAGCTTCTCCCTACTTCCTGTATCAAAAGCCCTGATAATTATGTACACGTCCCTCTCAACCTTCTCTGCTACGATGAAAATGGACCCCAGCTTCTTCAACCTCCGTGTAAAAAGTTCAGTGACTTGATCTGAAGAGATTTTCAAGAGTCTGGTATTGATTTGTTTAGCTAAGTGTTTAAACTCTGGTCTCCTGGGTACTTCACATCAACCACATTCGATTGCAGAATGTCCAAACATCGGTCTGTTAGTGTCAGTTAACATTACAATACACGTAACCCAAGTACATAAGCTAGACCCGGGTTCGATTCCCGGCAGGTCAGGGCGAAACCTTGGGCAAGTTTCCTTACTCCGCACGCCTGATAATAACCCCTCAAGAAAAACAACAGCCCGTCCAACGATGCAGCAGGAAGCAGACTACCTGTCAACCCGGTAGCGTAAGGGGACGCCTTTTATAGGCCTTTTTTTCCTCTCTCTGGGGTTAAAAAAAAAAGCATCGTCCCATCGATAAGCGAAATAACAGAGGTAACTATTTAATACACTCGTCTCCAACTCAGAAAGTTATGGGTTCAAACCCCCGCAGGGCGGGGAGGGTGGGGGGTGGGCAGAGAAATAGAGCTTTGAACACATACAGTCTGACACTCTTGTGCAGCGCTGCGTGTGGGGAGGGGTGGGGGGTGGGAGGGGTGGGGGGTATGGCCTAATTTGTCAGAGGTGCCATCCTTTGGATGAGACTCATTCTTCCTCCTACTTTGCAGTAAATCCAGCGAAGTGTTTTGGGACACTTTGACGATATTTCATGATAAAGCACTCTATCAAACTCAAGGACTATTATTGTTATTGAACTGCCATGGTGCAGGGTTCAGCACGAATGCATTATTACCCCCTCCCACCGCCCCCCCCCCACCCCCCCACACAAAAAAAATTGGTGTGAGCGAGTCAATAATTGACAGCTCAATTTCTCCGCTCTCCCCCACCCCCCCCCCCGCTCCCCCCCCACCTTCATGCTCTATCATGGAGTGAGTTGGGGATGGGGATGGGGAGGGGGGGAATTGAGTTGTTGATTATTTCTGCCTCCCCGTGCCAGTGTTTGGTGAACAAACCACCTCTCTTGTCTCTACAAACAGTAATTACACACTTTTCAACAGCTCCTTGGAAACCTAATGAGCCGTGACCCAGGCTGAATGACGGTGGGCAGCACTCCATTAACTTATTGGCCCTCACGTTCATCTTATCACTGTAGATTATTGCTCGCCGGAGCTATTGTTACTGCAGTGGATGTAATTTTCCATCAGAGTGCTCTCAAAGTGCTCTTCTCTGCCCACCCCCCCCCCTCCCACCCTCATGTCTCGTGTCCGTTAATGCTGCTGCTGGTTGCGTCTCCAGTCTATGGAGTCCTGTAGCTCAGTGGTTAGAGCGCTCATCTCGCAAGCGAGAGGACCCGGGTCGATTCCCGGGCGGGGGAAAACCTTAGATAAGTTTCCTTACTCCACGCATACACACACACACACACACGCGCCTCTGTTTACACAGCAGTAAGTCGGTTGTTAGTCGATAGTCGAATCGCTTTCCGGGGGTAATAATCCCTCCCAAAAAAAACATTTGGTGACTCAATCCACGACTGTTTGTGGGGACGCTGCTGTGCGCAATTGGCTGCCACGTTTCGTCCACAAAATACACAGTCGCTCCAATTTACAGTATATTCCGTGAAGCGCTTTTGAGACGTCTCAATGACATGATATGGCGCTGTATCAAATGCAAGGATTATTATATATTATTATTATGTAGCGTCTGTGGTAATGTGTATTTCAATAGTTTTTTTTGGATATATTTGTAAATGTGATGTATTTATGCTTCCCCACTCTGGCTGATGAGCGTTTAACCTCCATTTTGTTTCAGTAAAACGCTTCTTTGAACCAGATACGGACCGGAGACCTTGGAAAATATGGTAATCAGTGACTTTATTTAAAAAAAACCTCAGTCGATGTTTCCATTCCTGGATGAGAGGGAGGGAGTGTGAGGAAGGGGGGTAGAGAGGGTTGGGGGTTGGGGGAGGGGCAGTGAGGAAATGGGGCAAGGATGGGACAAGGGATGGGTAGGGGCGAGAGATTAGGGCCAATTTTCTACCCAGTGCTACGGTCCCGTAGCAAAAAAAAAACCCCTGGGAAATCCCAGGTCTCTGTGTGCGAGCGCGTGTATGTGGGGTGGGGAGCATAGAGGTGACGCAAAGCAAAAGCGCTGTCCAAGAATTCTGTGCAAAACCTCTTACCAACCAGTGGATTGGGGTGGAAGGGGTGGGGTGGATGGTGGGGGGGGGCGGGGTGGTGTGTTGGGGGCATATCTCCAGAACCCCCCACCCTCCCCACCCCGCACTTTGCAAATGGTAAAAAAAAGAATGTTGTATCTGCTTTTTAAACAGGTTTTTCGACGTATTCAAGCACGGCCCCGGAGCTGTCGTCATCCACTTCATGAATGTGTTTGGCTCAGAACTGATAGGGGATGACCCCTGTTCCCTGTGAGTGTGCGCTCACACGTGTCTGTCACTCTCATTGTTTTACGCTGGGACGTTGGTGCCTATAGGGGAAAGCCTGGGGATTCTCTTGATATCACAGTCTTAGAAACAGGAGGAGACCATCAACAACAACAACAACAGCATTGCATTTACACAGCGCCTTTCATGTCGGAAGGACATCCCAAGGCGCTGGACAGTTAAGTGTTTGCACCCGAGCCGGGGGATGGAATCAAGAGGGATGGAGGGTAGGGGGAGTGGGGGTGGGAGGGGGGGGGGGGCTGAAAGCACAATTAAAGAGGAAGGTCTTGAGATGGGCCTTGAAGGGAGGGAGGGAGGGAGCGAGGCGGAGGGATTTTCAGACAGTGGGGGCAAAGAAGCCGAAGGCCTGACCACCAATGGTGGGGAGGGCAGAACGGGAGACATGAAGCAGGCCATTGCCCGCCGAGTGGAGGGCAGGGACTGGTTGGTACTGTAGCAAAGTACCAAAGCAAGGTTATTATTATTATTAACATTAATTATCCTGGCTTTTTCCCCCCAAGCTGGGGAGCATTGTAATAATTTCTGGTGTGTTCTATCCTCCTTATCCAGCTATGTCATGATCTTCCTGCTTGACGCCACACTGGGCATGTACCTGATCTCGAAGGGCCTTAAGCTGGTGGGTAAGCTCCAGACAAGCCGTATCGTGGAGTGTCAGAACTGGAACCTCCTGGTGTTCGGAAAATGCGGTGAGTGGATGGAACCTGCAATGAGATGGGAAAGTCCACCCGCACAGGCAGACGGGAGCTCGGGTTAATAACAAGAATAATAATAATCCTTGCATTTGATATCGCGTCTTATCAAGTCTTCGAGACGTCTCAACCCGTGTGTTTCTCGTGGGCGAAACGCGGCAGCCAATTGCGCACAGCGACGTCCCCACAAACAGTTGCACAGGGGCAAAGAGAGAAGGGGGGCAGGTAATGGCTTTAGATATCACTGGTTACATACAGCTGAAACACAGTACATCTGTACTCTTTAACAGTACAGTAATATCGTACCAGTTGACGTTGCTCTGTGAAGTGTAGTTCAATAACCGCCAGAGGGCGATATGTGAACAGGGTTTCTTCGTACTGGCGGGTGGGTCGGTAACTAACCCGAGGGCAACGATTTCAAATGGTTGTTTAAAAAAAACCAGAGGGGCGGTGCAGAGAAATGCTTTGACGCAGCGAGCCGTTGGGATCTGGAATGCATTGCCTGAAAGGCCGGTGGAAGGCGATTCGATAACAGCTTTCAAGAGAGAAGTCGATCATTATTTGGGGAGGAACAAGCTTGCAGGGCTATGGGGAGAGCGGGATTGAATCGGTAAAGCTCTGGGCCGAATGGCCTCCGTCTGTGCTGTACAATTCTATGATTCTATGATACTCTGAGGTGCAGAATGAGAAGCAATAGCCGAATTATTCATCTAATTGCGATAATCATTACATTTCACGCACTGGCCTTCTTCACGTCTCAAAGAGCTTGACGGGTTATTCTGTAAAGTGCAACGATGGATTTTACAGGCTAAGGCGACAGCCAATTTGCGCACTCACTCGAGTGAGTGACCAATTTTATTTTGTGGGATTATTGGCCAGGACACCGGGGGAGAGAAAATGCCTTCTGTTTTTTTTTTTGAACATCCACCTGAACACCTTTCGAAAAGCCAAGGGACTTTCTTCGCGGAGTCTTTGCCAACAATACCCCGAACAAAATCGGTCAAAACTGCCTACAATTGTTATTTTTGGGGGGGTCAGCCGGGTGTCTGACACATGGGGAAACCCATCACCATTGCTTAAACAGTATCCAAACCAAACTGAGAATTCCCTGCACTCCACCTACAAATGGAAATCCCTGAGATAGATTGTTGGAATGGAATACGCTCTCTCTCTCTCTCTCTCTCTCCCCCTGGAGGGACTCATCCTGCTTACCTAATTCCGGAAAGTATTAGGCGTAGGTTGGCAGGAGCCAAGGCTTGGGTGGGGGGGTGGTGGGGGGAGCCCAGAGTGTGTGTTGGGGGTAACTGCTGGAGTCCAACCAGCTACAACCGCATAGCTTGCCGTTGATCTTGCTATCGTCATTACACTTAACAGTAAAATCCTACGAAGCTGTTTGAGACGTCCTCCTGACTCGAAAGGCGAGAGCTATTGTAACTAAATGAATTTGCCTCGTGCTGTTTCTGTGACGTCTCACTCAAAACCCCGCGAGGCACCATGAAAGGCCGGAGCATTGAGCACAGGACGTAGTACACAAATCGGAACTCTCTGTAGGTCTCTGGAGCTAAACATCAACCCTAGCTCCGACAGTAACTGGACTTCACTGGCTACACGTAATAAAAAGCCAAGTGATGTTAACGTTATTCACACACTCCATAGTGCATTTCATTCCACAGCCTCTCGGGAACATTCAGCTTTGACCTCTCCGCGTAATTGCAATCTCTCTGGCCTTGATAAATGCCTCGCAGAGCACATGGGATCCATTAGGTTCTGCCTTGTTGGTCAACAACCCTTTTTCCCCTATCCCCTGCCTCCAGAACCCCCCCCCCACCCCATCACCTAGTCCTGGCCACCCTTGTTCTGCCCACACAATGTAGGCAGGGCACCTGTTATAGGAGAGGCACAGTTCTACACTGTGTCCGCAAGTCGCAGTTGTAGCTTTCTCTCTCTATCTCTCTCTCGCCTCTGAGTCAGAAGGTTTGAGGTTAAAGCCCCCACTTCAGGACTTGGAATCACATCGTCTTAAGCAGACGCTCCAGTGCAGTGCTGGGGTGGGGGTGTGTGTGGCGAGTGCTGCAATGTCAGAGGTGCCGTCCTTCGGATGAGACGTTAAACCCGGTCGGAGGGTGGGGGGGTTGGTTGGGGTGGGGGAGGTGAGGGATAATTCCACCGTCTATTCTACGACAGCCCTCTCCTCTCGCTGGAGTTTCACCAGCTTAAATCTGCGTATCTTCTCGGCGTACAGTCTGTCACGTTTTTCCCTCGAACAGTAACCAGTTGTTCTCGTTCTGGAACAGAAGCCCAACTGATGCAATATATTGCCGAGGGGCAAGCGAGACTTCCAGCAGATAGATTCCACAGTTCCTTTTCAAGACTGTCAGAATGCATCAGTCTGGCCCAGGGGCTACCGTTTTAGCCTCGGAATCAAACACCAGTCAGGCACTTTGTGCTTCGAGCTCCTAATGTAAGGGAGGAGCTGGCGGGATGGAGGGGTGGGGGGGGTTGGTTGGGTAGGGTGGTGGGGGGACGCGCAATTCATTGTCGGAGACGTTAAACTGAGTTCTCATTCCCGTTGCTCAGGTGGACCCCCAAAAAAATCATTACTTGTTGGTCGTGTTTGCTTACAAACGATAATTGCCTGTGAAGTCCTTAGACATCGCGGCTATATAAACACTTGTACACATTGCACGAATGATTAGTACAGTATTAATGTCATCATTTACTGTGGGGACACTGCTGTGTGCGAATTAATAATCATAATAGTAATCCTTGCATTTGGTACAGTGTTGAGACGTTTCAAAGCGCTTCGCAGAATACACGGTGCAAAGTGTAGTGACTGTGTATTTTGTGGGCGAAAGGCAGCAGCCAACTGCGCACAGCGGCGTCCCACAAAAAGTCGTGGATTGAGTGAATCGGTTGCCTCGTTTGCCTACAAATAAATGCACAATCGCTGCACTTCGCGGTTTAAAAAACAATGTCACGAAGGGCTTTGAGACATCTCGACAATGTAATAAGAATGATCTGATGTTAAAAGATTCCTCCCTCCGCCCAGTATGGAAATACCAGCCAGAGCCTCTGACCTAGGCAGACATGTGTGGGTTACTTTGGCACAGCCGTCTGTCTTTCTGTTGCTCTGTTATTTCCCACTGAAAATCCTTCCCACGTTCAATTTCGGGTGTGTTACAAAATCGGGAGAAGCTGGACGAGTTTTTCTTCAAAGAAATCCCGCCGCAAAGCGCCGGCTTGCAGTGATCGAGGAGGTCTAAAATATATTGTTTCTTAACAGGATCCCTCCTACAAATACACAGCCACTTCACTCCACGTTGAAATGCCTTGAACCTCTTTGAGCCGGACGTTTTCAAACGACTTGATTTTCGGTGCCAAATCCAATGCAAGGGCTATTGTTGTTTAAAAATTTGACCGGCTCAGTCGGATAGCGCTCTCGCTTCTGAGTCAGAAGGTTGCGGGGGTAAGCCCCGCGTCGTGACTTTTAACTTTTAAGTCAGAGATGCCATCCATTGGAGGAGATGTTGAACTGAGGTCGCGTCTGTACCTGTTCGGGTGGACGTCAAATTATTATCATTGTTAGTAACGTGACCGCCCTCTTTGTTACAGGGGTCTCTTCCCAGGTCAAAGCCTGGCTTGGACAGTGTACCCTCTATCTGATTATTACGGTCTGTGAAAAAATGGTGATCATTGTCATACTGCTGATTCCAGGCTTGACAAAGGTAAGCTCAGCACTTAGCTGGCACGTTTTTTGTTTGGCCAGCCGGGTGTCTGACACACGCGGAAACCCATCACCGTCGCTTAAGGGTCTCTAAACCCAGCTGAGAATTCCATACATCCCACCTACACATGGAAATTCCACAGATAAGTTGTTGGAATGGAATGCGCTCTCTCTCTCTCTCTCTCTCTCTCTCTCTCCCTGGAGGGCCACATCCCGTTTACCTAATTCTGGAGCGTATTAGGTGCAGGTTGGGGTAACTGGTGGAAATGGACCATCGGAAATAGAGAAGGATGTTTCTCTCTCTCCCGGTGTCTTGGCCAACAATCAGTTTCCCCCCCCCACCCCCAAAAAAATTGTCTGTTCCCTTCAGGGCTGTTTGTGGGGGAATGTCGCTGTGCGCAAATTATTTGCAGCGTTCGCTTGCCAAAATACACAGTCACTACGCTTTGCAGTGAAATCCTGTGAAGTGCTTTGAGACGTCGGCCTGACGCGAAAGATGTTTCACCGACAAAAATATACAGTCGATTCACTTTACAGTCCATTCGGAGACGTCTCAAAGACGTGATGAGGCGCTATATCAAATGGAGTCCTGTAGCTCAGTGGTTAGAGCACTCGCTTTGCAAGTGAGAGACCTGAGTTCAATTCCAGGCAGAGGGCGAAACCTTGGGCAAGTTTCCTTACTCCACACAGAGCCTAATAATAATCCCTCCAAAACCAAAAACAATAATAAATTGGTCATTTTCAATCCACGACTGTTTGTGGGACATTGCTGTGCGCAATTGGCTGCCGCGTTCGCCCACAAATATACAGTCAATTCACTTTACAGTGTGTTCTGTGAAGCGCTTTGGGACGTCCTCCCGACGTGAAAAGCGCTATATCAAATGCAAGGATTATTATTATTATTATTACCAAACACAAAGTTGTTGATTCTCTTGTTGTCTCCAGTTTTCGAAGTTCCTGCTGAGCTATATCCCTTACCCCTGGTTGAAGCTGGCTATCGTTATGCTGATTATTCCCCTTATAACGAACGTAAGTCCTCTGTGCTAAAGCGCTGAGCTTCGGGCCTACCGAGGTCACAACGTGCTTCCATTTCATATCCCGTGAAGTGCTTTGGGAGCTCTCGGCGACGTGATAGGATGCTTTACGGAGTCTCGTAGCGTAACTGTTAACGCGCTCACCTCACAAGTGAGAGGGCCCGGGCTCGATTCCCGGCAGGGTGAAATCTTAGACAAGTTTCCTTACTCCACACACACGCTTCTGTTTGCCCAGCATTGAGGAGGAACCCAGTTGTTAGTCAATTGGCGGATCACTTTCCAGGGTTTTTTTTAAAAAAAAGGGGTGGGGGGGGGGATGGGGTGGTCACTCAATCCATGACTGTTCGTGGGACACTGCTGTGCGCAATTGACCAGGCAGTGCTGGGCACTGGTGTAAGCCTATGGTTTGTCTCCTCAGGTGATCTTCTTCTGTTACGCAGACATGTTGCTCATTAGGCAGAGAGTGGATGGAAGTGAGAAGGCATACTTCAAGACAGTGGATGAAGAGTCTGGGGTAAAAACATCTGTTAGATTCTCTCTTCTTTCTGCGCCTTTCTCTTCATCTCATTCTCCATCTTCTTTTTACTCTCTCGTTTTTTTTCTCTCTCTCTCTCTCTCCCTCACATTCGAAATCGATACGAAATAATTCTTGCGTTTCAGACGGGTCGAAACACCTTAGAGCAACGATCCTTTGCGTTTCATATTTCGCGTCGCGAACCACTTTGCCGGATTGACTGAAGTGCGGAGACTGTGTGTTTAGTAGGCAAACGCGGGAGAAGCGTGGTAGCGCAGTACAGGTCAGGCGCTGTACGCGGGAAGTGACATCAGTGGCGAGCGGGTGATCCGTAAGTGCTAAAATGGCGGCCTTTTTTTTTATGCGCCCTGTGATAACGCAAACCCAAACCCACTGAGTCCTGATAGTTTCTGACAGCGGACATGAGACGAGGGTGGTTACGGCAACCAGGATGATATTCTGCAGGAACAAGTCCGGCTCTGTGAGTTGTGTGTGGGGGGAACGTGTGGGGTGTGTGTCCATGTGGCATGTGGCCGTGTGGGTGTGTGGGGGTGTGTGTGCGCGGGTGCGTTAGAAGCAGAGCCAACGGAGCCCTCCGAGTAATTGCTGCGTTCACGGGTTCCCCCGTTTCACTCGGGGTCATTCAGAGACGATCCATTGCGACCGCTTGCCATTACTCCCCGATGCAAGAGGAAATTCTTGGGCCGTGCAGTAATGGGAAATGGTTGCAATTGGTCTCTCTCTCTCCCTCTCTCTCTCTCTCTCTCTCTCTCTGTGACGTGCCTGTTGGCAGGCGATTGCGCCGAAGGCTTTAAAGCCAAGGCTTTGGGAGCGAGTTAGCCTGAGAAACTACCCACTCGCTTATTATTCCACAGTGTTCTCCCCGGAGGTTTTGTACCGAGCTTTAAATACACCCACTCCCTTGCGATTGGTGGCCCTGGGACTTTCATTCGTTTGTTTTTTGGTGGGAGGGGGTTCGGGGGAGCAGAGATTATTACCCCCGGAAAGCCCAATATCCATAGAAAGCAGGGACAGGGTTTTATCCAGTTTTCTCTTTACCCCTCAACCCCCACCCCCACCGCTCTTTTTCTTTCATTTCGAAATCCCGTCAGAAAGGGTCACATTTTCCATCCCCCCCCCACCGCCCCCACTCTCCCCACCCACCCACCCAATTGCCAGTCACCCTCAAGGTCACCCACAAAGCACGGAGACAAAAGGCCAACCGATTGTAGTCAGTGGGGAAGGTCTGACAAAGGAGCCCCTTTATATTCCCGTCGCCCCCACTCAGGCTGGCACCGTGGGTTGAAGCTTGACGTCATTGTCGGATGAGGTTGGCATCCGTTCTGCCCCTGGTCAAAGGTGCCCTTTAAAGAACGTAGGGATTTACTGGCGAAAGGAAACCAGGGTCCTTCCAGTTCGCCTTCCACCAGCCTGGCAGTCGCATGACATGTCGTTTCCCAAACTATATCCCGTATCCTCCCCCCCCCCCCTCCCCGAGATATTATTTCCTAACAGGAATCGATCTCATTTGTGCTTGAAAGAATGCACGCTTTCTGTTTCCATCGTCTCTTTCTCTCTCTCTCGGGAGTCTATTCCATACGTTTACCACTCGCTCACCGAAGTAGTGTTTCCGCCGATTTGTTCTGAATTTAGCCCCCTGTTCAATCGCAGTCCGTGTCCTCTGGTTCTACAGTACAGCACAAGATAAAACGGCTTATCATAGTCTGCATTATCTACGTTAAAACAGGACAACACGCGCTTAACTCACCCCACAACACGGGTTAGCAAATTGGATGTCAAAGGGGGGAGATTAGAAAAACGTCTTTGCTATAGAGGTTAAAGATAATCGCAAAAGAACGTAAGGGGAGACGAGGAGATACTTTTTCACCCTGAGAGTCGTTAAGATCTGGAATGCGCTGCCTGAAAGGGCCGTGGAAGCAGATACGATAATAACTTTCAAAAGGGAATTGGATGTTTACTTGAAAAAGGATAAAAAATTGCAGGGTTGTGGGGTTAAGAGCGGGATGAGTGGGACTGGTTGGTAGCTCTTTCAAAGAGCCGGCATGGACACGATAGGCCGAATGGCCTCCTTCTGTGCTGTAGGATTGCATGGTTCTATAAGATCCTGTAAAAACACAAGTCCTTTCTTTTTCTCCTCTGTCTTTCACTTTTTCACTCTATTTTCCTGTCTCTCTCTATTTTTTCTCTCTCAGCGTCTCCCTGTGTCTCACATGAAATGAGGCGAGGGGGTGAGAGTTAGTGAGCGTGACGGAGAGTTTGACTGAGTTATTAGTGACTCCGGCCTCTCCTCTCCTCTGCACCACCACCCCCCCACCCCACCCCCATCCAGCCTCGACCCTCCGACCAACAGGTGCTGCTGAGCTCCGACCCGGAAACTTCCGAGAGCGACTGCGACAGCCCGTGACGCGGAGAGACTGGGGAGCTCGAGAGAAGGCAGGGGCAACGCGGTGTGTCCGTGTGAACGCTTCACAGGATTCAATGTAAAGTGCACTTGTAGATGGGCGTGAACTCTTAACCGATGAATTCCTCCCCGATCGTGTGTTGTCTATCCATCAATTGAGTGGAAAGCCTTGTAAGTTTAGGGTGTAATTAAAGGGGTTGGGGTCGGGGGGGTGGGGGGGGGGGGAGGAACAGGACTAGTTGGTTTAAAAATGAGGCCTTTCTGTTAGCAAATAAAAATTCCCCCTCCCACCACCAGAGCTTCCTTACTCCCCACCACCCTGCCATTTAAATGACAAACTTATACATTTTTTTAAAAGGATTTGTTGTGTCAAATAATTGTTTGAGAGTGCGTGTTGGAAAAAAGTGTTAGGTTTGTCTTACGGTTGAGTTGATGCAGTTTAAAGCACAAATGGGGAGTAGGGGGAGCTCGGGCAGTGTTTGGGTGGAAATGTTAGTGTGTCAGCCTGGCTCGCTCTCACCTCTTGAGTCGGAAAGTTGTGGGTTCAAGTCCCACGTCTTAATCTGACGTCCCAGTGCAGCGTCCCAGTGGGAGTGTGTTGAGTTGCCAGAGGTACCGACCTTCGGACCAGACGTTAAACCGAGGTTAACGTCCAGGTGGACGTTAAATTGGTCTTCCATTTCGTGGGACATCGCTGTGTTCAAAATCGGTTGCTGGATTCGCTTAGGAAATACACAGCTGAGCACACGCGCAAAAAAAAAAGCTTTGTATTAAAATCCTGTGAAGCGCTTTGAGGCACATGATAAGGTGGTATCAAATAATGCAAGTACAATTAAAATTTATTGTAAAAAAATTGCAATGTAATACAGCTCTGCGGGACTGAGATTGTGTGTAACCACCCATACATACAACAGGCAATAAAACCCATCCCTGTCGGATATTCTCATCCACACACATCTCGTCCTTTGTGCTAAAGATCTTGTTTGCAAACTGCCGGTAACAGGTGTGACGCCAATAACTGGAGACTTTGAAATTAAAAAAAATGCCGGTTCCTGTCAATTTGTCTGCCGTCTTTATTTCACTCCTCACCACTCCTTGTGGTTTGGAGTGAGTTCCTCCCTGTGGGCAAGTCGGCTCCCGTGCAAGTTGTTGTTAAAAAGAAAAAAATCCTCTGAAGCTCTTTGGGACGGGCTCCTGACGTGAAATACGCTGTTTGAACCCACAATAAGGGAGGGGAGGAGGGGGGCATCAGCTTAAAATTAGAGCCAGGCCATTTAGGAGTGAAATCAGGAGGCAGTTTGCCACCCAAAGAGTAGTGGGAATCTGGAACCCTCTCCCTCCCCCCAAAAGCCTGTGGGATGTTGGCTCCATTCACAGTTTTCAAGACTGAGGTGGACAGATGTCTGTGAGGTCAGGGTATCGAGGGATATGGGGCAAAGGCAGGTAATTGGAGTTGAGATAGAGATCAGCCCTGATCTGACAGAATGGCAGAACAGGCTCGAGGGCCTGAATGGCCTTTTCCTGTTCCTATGTTCGCGCACAACCCTCGCTATGGATGCGTGTGGAGGGATTAGGTCGCGGACACACAGGGGGCTTGGATTCCCGGGGCTGCCTTTGTGTTGGAGAGTCAATGAGACACTATTCCAGTGGCCTCCGAGAAGGTCAGTCCTCGAGCCTTGACGTAAGTTGGGATAATGAGGGTTGGACGACCCTTCCCATTTTTCATCTCGAACCCGAAAGAACAAAGCGTTGCTTCATCGTCGCTATAAGTGCGTGGGTTGCTATTCAACTTCCAGCACAATTCAACAGGGTGGTGATCCCCAATGTGCACTGTGTCTCGATCCTTTGAATTTTATTAGAATAATAATAATACTCCCCTTGCATTTCATACAGAATCTGTAACCTCAGAATATTTACAGGTTACACGTTTTATATGAAATGCCTGAAGTGTCCTGTAACTCAGTGGTTAGAGCACTCGCCTCGCAAGTGAGAGGACCCAGGTTCGGTTCCCGGTTCCTGGGTGAAATCTTAGGCGAGTTTCCTCACTCCACACGCCTCTGTTTGCCCACAGCAAGTAGGAACCCGGTTGTTAGTCGACTGGTGGATCGCTTTCCGGGGGGTAATAATCCCTCAAAAGAAAAAAAAAAATGCGGTCACTCAATCCACGACTGTTTGTGGGACGCTGCTGTGTGCGATTGGCTGCCACATTTCGCCCATAAAAATACACAATCAGTCAGTCAGTTTACAGTGTATTCTGTGAAACGCTTTGAGACGTCTCGACGGTATTATTTATTTATTATGATTATAATCCTTGCCTTTGAGATAGAACCTGCGACCTCAGAACATTCCCCAATCTCTGCATTAAATCCTGCGAAGCGCTTTGAGACATCCTCCCGAAGCGACAGGTACGATACCAAACGGCGAGGATTGCCGTTGAAATAAGTGGAAGAACAGATGGCTTATCCCTTATTCCACTATCCTTAAGCTCCAACTTATCCCAAACAAATCCCGCATCCTAAACCCGCCGTCATCCTGCCCAGAAACTCCTGGCTGAGCGCTGCCCCTCGGAAGCGGGAAGGGCGCTATATAAATGCAAGTTGTTGTTGTTGTTTGTGGCCTAATTCCCACGGAAACCAAAGCAAGATTGTGGAGAGGGAGGAAGGGAGGGAGGGAGGGAAGGAGGAAGGAAAAAAGAAAGGAAAAACAAAATCCACACGACATATTGTTGCAATAAAAAAAAATTAAGGTCAGAGGTTGGAATTTTTTTGGTATCGTTCTGGGGGTTTGGTCAGGGTTTAAGCTTCTCCTCCGGCTTCGCCCCAAAGATCAGAGGTCAACTGAGTTGCCGGTCCCCGTGTCGAAGAGATGTCCAGCCAAGTAATCCTTGTAAGACCCATCGATCAGACCAGCGGCATTGTCCCTCGCAAACCAACAGTCCACCAGTTGCTGCCCATTGTAAATCCTCCTCTGCCTCATCGCCACAGGCACCAAGCGACCCTTGATGTCCAATGTCGCCTCAAGCTCCCTCGTCCCCTCTCCGCCGGGGGTCCGAGCCCCCTCCTCAACGCTCTGCACTTTGCTTCCCGTCGTGTTTGTGGTCGTGCCTTTAACTTTGACCTCGGTGTTCAGGAACTGACCTGTGGGGGGGTGGGGGTGGGGCGGGGGGGGGGGTCGAGGGGCGAAACGGACCAGCCATTACTTCAACACAACACAATGCTCCACCCTGTTCCGTGGATGTTTAACTTCCCACAAAATATACAGTCACTACACTACACTTTACAGTCTATTCTGTGAGGCGCTTTGAGGCGTCTCGAAGACGTGATAAGGCGCTGTACCAAATACAAGGATTTTATTACTATTATTATTATTATTATTAATCACAGACACTATCGGAACAGAGAAGGGAGTTTCTCTCTCCAGGTGTTCTGGCCAACAATCCCCCAAATAAGACTGGTCGCTCACTCCACGGCTGTTTGTGAGACGTTCCTGTGTGCAAATTGACTGCTGCCAAAAAAAAAGACTATATTTTACAGTAAATCCTGTGAAGGGCTTTGGCACGTCCTCCTGATATGAAAGGCGCTGTGCCGAATGCAAGGATTATTATTATTAAATGACGACGCCTTCAACAATGCAGTGCAACCTCAGCACTGCATTGACAGCGCCGCCCAAGCCTCGACTGCGGTTCAAAATCCCAACATGGAAAGGGCTTGAACCCACAACCTTCTGAGTCAGAGGTGAGTGTCCTAAGCAGTTTTGCTGGAAATTCAGCGTATATGTGCGCGCGCGCGCGTGTGTGTGCGCGTGTATGTGTGTATTTACGTGTGTGTGTATGTTTGTTTGAGCGTGTGTGTGTACAAATACGTACGTGTGCGTATGTAGAGGGGCTGTGCTTTGCTACATGCACTGTCTATTGTACGCGACTGGACCGTAAACACAACCTCTCTCACCTCTGGTGAAAGGTGGCAGGTGGGTCTGTCAAGGAGTAATCGCGGACGAAAGGCAGGCCAGACCTCGGAAGAGAAGGTCCAGCAGAGACCTCGCAGTGCCCCTCGATCTCAGCTTAATAAACACGGTCTTAAATGCTAAGGCAAGGACATCTCCCCAATTGTGCGGTGGGTAAATAAAGCTCCATCTCACAGACCTGGAGCTCTCTGGTTTGTATCCCGAACTGAGCCACTTAATCGTATCAATTAATATTAATTAATTAAAAGGAGTCCTGTAGCTCAGTGGTTAGAGCACCCGCTTTGCAAGCGAGAGACCTGAGTTCAATTCCAGGCAGAGGGCCAAACCTTGGGCAAGTTTCCTTACTCCACACAGAGCCTAATAATAATCCCTCCAAAACCCAAAACAATAATAAATTGGTCATTTTCAATCTACGACTGTTTGTGGGACATTGCTGTGCGCAATTGGCTGCCGCGTTCGCCCACAAATATACAGTCAATTCACTTTACAGTGTGTTCTGTGAAGCGCTTTGGGACGTCCTTCCGACGTGAAAAGTGCTATATCAAATGCAAGGATTATTATTATTATTATTATTATTATTAATGTCAGCCAATTGCTGCGCAGCAGTGTCCCACAACCAGTCGTGGATCGAGTGACCAAATTATTATTATTACTTTGTTCAAGGGATTATTCGCCGATCGACCAGCAACTGGGTTCCTACTTACTGCTGTGTAAACAGAGACGTGTGTGTGCGCGTGTGCGTGTGTGTGTGTGGAGTAAGGTTTCGCCCTGACCCGCCCGGGAATCGAACCCCGGGTCCTCTCGCTTACGAGGCGGGCACTCTGACCAATTGCACCCCGGGGATCACTGACTCACCCAAAAGTCCGTGGGCGCGGGGGGAAAGCCCTGAGCTGTTTAGGATGTAGAACCCCAGGTGGTCTCGCTGATGGGCGGCGGGATTTTTATACCGGTGGATGAGGATCAGGAGAGAAATGGAATCGTTTATGGTCACGGTGACCGAGGACCTTGCCTCCACGGAAACCACCATCCCACGGCCCTCCACCTCCACCGTGCGGTCGCAGGAGAGCACCATCCTGTCTTTGCCGTCGAAGACCACCTTACGAGGCGTGATCTCGATGTAGGAGCGGCGGGAGGGCTCGCCGGTGACCACGGCCACGGCGCTGAAGTAGGTGCGACGCTTCTTGTGGCCGCCGGGAGGCGCCGGAGCTCCGATCAGCTGCCCGTTGACCGTCAACAACGGCCCTGTAAACGACGCCACAAGACGAGAAAACAACGAACAGAGAGAGAAAAAAAGGCTCCATTTTTGGACTCGGCCGCTTCACTCATTCGTCCATCTCGCGTCTTCTGTCGCGTGACCCGCTCTTACGTGGAGCCCCTGTGGTGTAGTGGTTAACGCTCTCGCCTCGCGAGCGAGAGGACCTGGGTTCGATTCCCGGGCGGGCGGTGGTTGGGGGGGGGGGGACGAGTGGGGTGGGGGGGGGGCCGTTTTGCGTCCATAACAGTCGTGTGCTTACCCGAGTTCCTGCGATCGGACAGCAGTCTGAGCACCTCGCCCGGCTCCCCGTCGAAGTTGAAGCACACGGAGGTCTCGCTCCGGGGGAAATCCACAACGAAATGGGGATCGCCGTCAGCTGGGCGTTGGGGAAAGGTCCACGGTTCAGGTGAGACGAGACCCCCCCCACTGTTACGTCGCACTCACACGGCCGACACGCAATTTGGTAAGCGTTGGCGTTAAGCTTCCAGGCACCTTCTCCCCCCGCCCCCACCACTACCCACCACTCCTCCCCATCCTCAGATTCCCTCCCACCACCGCGCCCCCCCTCCCCCCCACTCCCCCCACCAACTTCGTCAGCTGCGTAAATCTGAGAGGCCCCTCTGAAAGGCAAAGTAGACATTTAGATTGTCGTTGTCGTAATGGCACGCCTATAATTTTCCTTGCCCCCCCCCCCCCCATGAGGCTAAAGCAGCTCGCCCACAAAACACACAGTCACTACACTTCACAGTGTACCCCCGGCGAGGCTCTTTGAGACCTCCTCCCGACGTGAGAAGTCGCTGCACCATTTTGTCAGGGTCGTTATTGATATCGCAGTGATTGTTAATATGAATGAAGTATTAATGATGATGATGAAGATGATGTTGATGATGATGATGATTCTCTCCCCTTCGGTGACGAGGGTCTGAGCCCCCTGGACCTTACCGGACGTTTTGGAGATCACCACGGTTTTCTTGCTTCTCGCAAATTGGACCTCTAGATACAAAGAACAGCCGACGATTACATTACACCAGCGGTGCGGTGCGGGTGGTGTGGGTCAGAGAACTCTCTAACCCAGGAGGACATCTCGTTCCGTTCTCCCCGCAGCCTGACACGTGAGATGCATTCCCGCGCATTTCCTTTCAACTCTCTCCGAGTCCTGGAGCTCTCCCCGAGACTGCCTTAAGTCGCTCCGTCCCTCGCGTGCCTCAACCCCCTCCGCCTCCCCCCCTCACCCGCTGCCCTCCCTCCCCCCGCCTCCACTTCTCTCCGAGTCTCTCAGGAGCCGCCCTCCGTCGCCGCCGAGAGACCCGACAGGCTGCCCTGCCTCTCGCACCCCCCCTTCTTCCCCCACCCCCACGGAGTCTCCGCGAAGCGCTTCGAGGCGTCTCGAAGACGTATAATTATTATTATTATTATGATGATGATTATCAGGTGGGGATCCCGTTTGCGTTCACCTGGTTTATTTCTTCCGCTGGAACTCTGCATCCTCCCCCCTTCTCCGCTCGCCTTGACCTGGTCCTCAGCCGCTCCCCCGGGAGAGCGCGAGGGTCCGTCCGGCCGACGATCGTCTCCCTCGAGGCTCGGCAGCTCCATGGCCGCGAGCGGCGACACGAAGCCGTACTCCACGGATAGATTCCCTGCCCTATCCCGCAGCCTCTCCTCCTCCTCCTCTCCTCCTCCCCCTCGGCCGCTGGTCAGATGTTTCCTCAGCAGCCCCTTGAGAGTCAGGTAGCTCCACGCCCTCCGGACCATGTCCCGTCCGGGATCGTCGCCCCGGGGTTCTCTCCCCTCCTGCCCGGCCTCGCCCACCTCGGCGTCGGCCTCCATGGTGATCCGACGATCGCCGGCGCTGGCCGTGACCTGCACGTGGAGGTGCTTCCCCCGGCCGCTCGCCACTTTGCCCGCGATCACCACCTCCGACCCGTTGAAGTAGTTGGCGAAGAAGCTCTGTGTCACGTCGCTGACCGAAGCCTCCGAATACTCCACCCGGATATCCGAGAGCAAGGGGGTCCCGATCTCGTCGTAGAAGCCCTTCAGCTGCTCGCCCGCGTCCAGCCCCTCGTAGACCCTCCTCATCGCCCCACAGTTGTCCAGCGACATGCGTTCCAGGAGCCGGTAATCCACGTCCTTCCCCACCCCCAAGGTGAACAGGCACAAGCCGTCCCCGATGGCTTCCTTCGTGTTGCTCAGGATCTTGTGAGGACGGACCTCGCTGATGGTCGGACGGCCGTCCGTGAGGAAGATGATCAGAGACACTGCCCTCCGGCTCTCTTCTCCCTCGGCCGCGGAACCCTTCAGCAGCCCGGCTCCCGCCTGAACGGCGTCGTTGATGTTGGTGCCTGTGAACCACGCAAACCCAACGCTGGCGATTAGCAGAGTCCCGTTAGCGTCGCGGTCAGTGCGAGCGAGAGCGTCCCCGGTTCGATTCCCGGCCAGGGCAGCAACCGACCCCCCCACCACCTCTCTCACCTCCTGAGGGAGACATCAGGTAAATGTACTTCTTGGCTTCCCGCAGGTTTTCCCGGGTCACGGGGACGAGTTTCCCTCGCCGCCACACGCGCACGTGGTTGGAGAAGTTGATGACGTTGAAGCGGTCGTTCGGTCGAAGGTCGTTGAGGATGGTAAACAGAGCGTCTTTGGTCTGAGGGCGAGACATTTTCACAAGGCATCAACAAACCATCTGGGGTTTTTCCCCCCAAATTGCAGCCTTGTAATAATAATAATTATATTAATAATAATGATGCTGCCATTTGATCCAGCATCGTATTACGTCCACACGCGCTTCACAGAATATACTATAAAGTGAATTGACTGCGTGTTTCGTGGGCGATACCCGGCAGCCGATTGCGCCCAGCAGCGTCCCCACAAACAGTCGTGGATCGAGTGACCGAAATTATTGTATATTTTTCAAAGTTTTTCTTTGTTTTCCAACAACGCAGACCAGAATATAACCTTACAGAACAGTGGTGGCCAAACTGCGGCCCGCGGGCCAGACGTGGCCCCCTTCTCCTCCCCCCACCCACCCGAACATTCGCGCGAGTCCAGGTGAGTCGGTATTCGATCGATAGCGCCTTCTTTGTTTTCTTCTTGATTGAATATGTCTTGATTTGCGCCCATCAACGGAGACGTATTCGATCGAGAAAATTAGATTTTGTTGGCCGTAAAGGTTGGTTGTATAGCGCGTCATCAAGACGACGAGAACAACGGCGACAACTTGCGTTTATATAACGCCCTTCGGGTGGGGTAAGCTCCCAAAGCGCTTGACAGTGGTGGAGTCTGGCAACATCTCGAAGGGTTTCACATGATATCCTGTAAAGTGGATCGACTGTGCATCTTGTTGGCGAAATGCGACGGACAGTTGCTGTTAGTGCTAGACAGTAAATCGCTCTGAACACACTGCTCGTGGTCCGAAGGTCAAGAAAATATTCCCAGCGCCGTGAATTCCGTTTCCCGAATTGGAGTCTTATGCTCCAGAGGTCTAACAGCTGGAGATTGGCCCCCAAAAGCAGCCTGGATCTGGCAAACCCGCAGCATTCCTTCGCATAATCCTCCGATTATGCCTGCAAACAGGGAATCTCACGGAGAGAAAACGCCAGGCCAACAAACCAGAGAATAATCCTACAAACATCTGTCCTCCCTTCAACCAACGCTTCCTGTTTGCTTTCTTCCCCCTCACCTGAAGACGTTCCTCTTTTGACCGTGCCTATGGTCACCTCAATCCCTCTCTTACTGGCTCAGTGAGATGCTGTGTAAATGCAAATTGTTGTCGTTGTTTTCTCCTCTCTCTCCCACCCCCCATCCCCCCCCCCCCACCCACATCGCCCGACTCTCCCATGCACCCCACTCTGATTTTCCCAACAACCGGCAACAAATTACAGCGCCTTTCGCGTCAGGAGAACGTCCCAAGGCGCTGGACAGTCAGGGTTTTGGACCCGAGCTGGGAGTTGGAATCAGGTGGGGTGGGAGGGCAGGGAGGGTGGGGGTAGGAGGGTGACCGAAGGCGCGGTCGAAGAAGGAGGGTCTTGAGACAGGCCTCAAAGGAGGCAAGGGAGGGGGCGAGGTGGAGGGACTGAGGGATGGAGTTCCAGAGGGTTGGGGGCAGAGGGGCTGATGGTGGAGCGGACAGGCCGATTTGGAGTTGGCAGGTCACAGATGTAGGGAGGAGCAAGGCCGTGGAGGGCTTTGAAGGCGAGGACAGCTCAACTGAAAACAACTGAAAACAACTCTGGTTGCCAGGAAATTGCTGCAAAATGAACTCAAGATCCTGTCTCTGGGGATAATGGTAGAATTATAGTCGCAGATCCCATGTCCTGCATATATATATATTCCATGTCCTTGGACACAGGTGCAGAGCTGTGGAAACTGGATGAGGGGGAAGTGCTTTTCTTCAGCTAATAACAACAAACAACCTCAACCCGCGGCTGTTTGCGGGGACGCTGCTGTGCGCAATTGGCTGCCGCGTTTCGCCCACAAAATATAACAGTCCATTCACTTTACAGTGTATCCTGTGATATATAGTGATAAGGCGCTATATTGTTATTATAATAATCCTTGCGTTTGATACAGCGCCTTATCACGTCGTCGAGACGTCTCAAAGCGACATGACGACCACAACAACTTGAATTTATATAACGGCCTTCACGTGGGGCAGAGGCTCGGAGCGCCTAATGAGTTGTACTCATTATGCATGTTTTGGGGGTTCCCTTTTCTTCCCGAAATCTACCAGAGTGTCCCACGAGCAATTAAATAGATACATAAACACGTCAATAAATAACCCTCGCGCTTGATATAGTGTCGGGAGGACAGCTCACTTGATTCACTGTCAAGCGTAGTGACTGTGACTTGTTAACAAACACTGGTAGCCAATTTCTGCGCGGCAAGGTCCCACAAACAGCCATGAAGTCGACGACTGATTTTATCTGGGGGGGAGGATATTCGGTTTAAAGCCAACCAGAGAGTGAATCACTGCGAGCATTACTGAGTGCTGCGTCTGGCAATGTCAGACTGAAAGGAACTCACTTGTGCTTACACTCAAAAAGTGTAATAAATATCACGTCCCTAATCCCTTTCACATACCAGTCCTGGCGATCACTAGTGCTGCAAAGTGTAAATTGAGAGGCTCTAAGTGGGTACGGTCTTACAACAGTAAGAATCTTGCACGTCTCAAACCGCTTCACAGAATACACTGTAAAGTGGATTGACTGTGGACGAAGCGCGACAGCCAATTGCGCACACAGCAGCGTCCCCGCAAACAGCCGTGGACTGAGGTTGTTTTCGGAGGGATTCTTGACCCCAGCAAGCGATCCCAATTGACAAAAAAAAGGGTTCTTACTTACTGCTGGGTAACCAGAGGCACGTAGAGTAAGGAAACTTGCCTAAGGTATCACCCTGCCCAGGAATCGAACCTGGGTCCTCTCGCTTGTGAGGCGAACGCTCTAACCACTACACTACAGGACTCCATTTTAGACGACATGAACTCGAAGACCCAACATGGGGCTGTACCATAAAGGTGAAGAGGGGAGAGGTGGATTCCTAGTGTTTGAGGGTTCAGGTAAGGAGTCCCCTACTTATATCCCTCCCCCTCCCCTCCACATCCCAAACTGGGATAGTCAAGGAAGGAGCCTTTTAATCCCATTTCTCTTCATCGAAGTGAAGACACAAACCTGTTTCATCTTCATTCCCAGCATCGAGGCGCTTGTATCTATCACGAAAACCACATTCTTAGGCACCGGTGGCAGGTCTTTGGGGGCAAAGTGATGAATAAAATATCCGTTTTGAACCTGCGACAAGAAGGAAACAAATATAATCTCAAATCATTCCGTGTCCGCACGCTTAAAGAGAACAGAAGGTTGACCGGTTAAGTTTTGGGGGTTTAGGCTATGGGACACTACCCTGCGTGAGGGGTGCTATACATATGCAAGTTGTTGCTGTTGTTGTTGTACACAATAATCCTTGTATTTTGATACGGCGCCTTATCACGTCGCTGAGACACCGCTTCACGTGTTTTCACTGCAGAGTGTAGTGACTGTGTATTTTTGTGGTTGAAACACGGCAGCCAATGGCGCACAGCGACATCCCACAAACAGTTGTGGATTGAGTGACCAATATTTTTTAAAGGAATTATTTCCCCCGGAAAAGCCATCCGTCCATTGACTAACAACCGGGTTCCGACTTACTGCTGGATAAACAGAGGGCGTGAGGAGTAAGGAGTGAGGAAACCTGTCTGAAGTTTCGCCTTGGCAGGGAATCGAACCCGCTTGCGAGGCGAGTGCCCTAACCGCGAAGCTGCAGGACTCCGAGTACCTGAATATCGCCAGCTCCCAATTCTCTGTCCACATCGTATCTGAGGATGAAGTCTCCCAGTACTCCGCTCTCAGCGATCCTGGCCTGCTGCAGGACACTGGGGGAGAACCTCACTGAGGCCGCGGTCTTCGTGCGGTTGACACTGGTGGACGGAGGCCGGGAGGCCTTAACTGTGCAGGAAGAAGATAAAATAATAATAAATAATAATACAATAACATAATCGAATCCTTGCATTTCACGCGTCACGTCTTTGAGACGTCTCAAAGCGCTTTGCAGAATATACTGCAAGTGAATCGACTGTATATTTCATGGGTGAAACGCAGCAGCCAATTGCGCACAGCAGCGTCTCTACAAGCAGCCGTGGATTGAAGTGACCAATTATTATTATTATTATTATTTTTTTTTTGAAGGAATTATTAGCCCTGGAAAAGCGATCCGCCAATCGACTAACAACCGACTCATAATCTTTACACTGTGTACAGCTTCTGGGTTGAATTTCGCAACCCCATTTAATAATAATAATAATAATAATAATAATAATAATAATAATAATCCTTGCATTTGATATAGCGCTTTTCACGTCGGGAGGACGTCCCAAAGCGCTTCACAGAACACACTGTAAAGTGAATTGACTGTATATTTGTGGGCGAACGCGGCAGCCAATTGCGCACAGCAATGTCCCACAAACAGTCGTAGATTGAAAATGACCAATTTAATTATTGTTTTTAGTTTTGGAGGGATTATTATTAGGCGTGTGGAGTAAGGAAACTTGCCCAAGGTTTCGCCCTCTGCCTGGAATTGAACTCAGGTCTCTCACTTGCAAAGCGAGTGCTCTAGCCACTGAGCTACAGGACTCCACATTTAACATTTTATACACATCTAGAAAGCTAGAGATGTCTCCTTTCAAGACTGAAGAGCCTTGACTAATTGTTGCTTATTATAATAATAATAATCCTTGCATCTGATACAGTGCCTGATCACGTCTTTGAGACGTCTCAAAGCGCTTCACGGGTTACGCTGTAAAGTGAATTGACCGTAGGTCATGGGTCTAAACCTGGAGATCATCCTCATTGCTCTCCTCTGCACTGACTGTGAGATGTTCAGAGTGGGACCAAATTGTGTGTCATAAATTCTCCTATATTGACTAAGTTGCTGGGGGGGGTGGGGAGGGGGGGGGAAGGTGAGTGGGAGAGGGAGAGAGAGGCTAGCAGGAACACGCCCAAAGCATATTGAACTGTGAAGCCAACAAAATGAATCCACTAATCTTTCTCATCCTCATGGGATGTCATGGAAAGAGGAAGGATTCCAAGCGATCCCAGAGGATGAGAGAGAGGATTGTATATTGTATGATTCTACAGTTTTAAGGGAGAAGTAGATAATTATCTGGGGAGGACAAGTTTGAAGGGCTATGGGGAGAGAGCGGGGTGGGGTGGGGTGGGATGGATTTGGAAAAGCTCTTTTCGAAGAGCTGGGACAGACGCGATGAGCTGAATGGCCTCCTTCCGCGCTGTATAATTCTTTGATTCCAGGAGAGAATGAGCAGGAATGTGAGGGGGTGGAGTGGGGAGGAGTGGGAGGAGAGTGATGAATGAGCAAGAGCGAGAGAGATGACTCTGGTGGGACCTTCAGCTGTTCTGCCCGATTCTGTCCAACAAACCATAAACATATTCCGGGGTCAGATTTGCGGTATTTCTAAGAACATTCCTTAACTTGTTTACGAAAAGTTATTCACGTTGTTTGGAAAACCCGGGTATTGTATTGGATCTACCTGAAGGGCTGCTGCCACGGACCCTGCTCTTCCTCAGAGGTGGGATCTCCAGGAACGATATCCCTGAGCTCTCCATCAAGTTGATGTCCACCCTCAGCTTGGGGACGATCTGCCGGGGCCTGATGCTGATCACGTGCTCGTACATCCCCATACGCCTCTCCAGCAGCTCCTCGTAGCTCAGCAGAAAGGTGGCTTTGGTCTTGGCTGGTAATTTTAAAGCCACGCTAAAGATTTCCACTTCCCTCTCTCTGGCGCGAAGAAACAACAACAACAACTGCTTGCATTTACATTCATATATTCGTGGAGTCCCGTAGCGTATTGGTTTAGGAGCACTCGCCCCTCAAGCGAGAGGACCCGGGGGCGATTCCCGGGCAGGGCAAAACCCTTAGGTAAGTTTCCTTACTCCACTCGCCTCTGTGCGCCCAGCATTAAGTAGGGACCTGGTTGTCTGTCGATTCGCTTTCCGGGGGGAGGGGGGTAATAATCACTTCGAAATAATAATAATTTGGTCACTCAATCCACGGCTGTTTGTGGGACGCTGCTGTGCGCAATTGACTGCCGCGTTTCACCCACAAAACGTACACCCCCTTTACAGTATATCCTGTGAAGTGCTTCGAGACGTCTCAACGATGTGATAAGGCGCCGTATCAAATGCAAGGATTTTTATCATTTTATTATTATTATTATTATTATTATTATTATTGATAGCTACCCAGGAAAGCATCGCCTCCCGTATCACACAGAACGGACTCAAGAAACCGGACACCCACCCGCTCTCGTTCCTCCTGGAATGTTCCTTGCGTTTTCGTCCTTTGGGTTTCCTTGCCTTGGCCTTCACTTGACCCTGATGGACTGCCCCACCGATAACCCTACAAGAAAAAGACAGACAAGAGTACAGATCAAAGCGCCATCAACATCCCCAAAAGCCATCAATATTGCCACGGCCAACTCGAGCTCAGTGGCTTTGCACATTCCACACCCGCCAAGCTAACACAGCCGTCCATTAATCTAACCCTGGGCCTGGGGTTGGGGTGGGTGGGGGGGGGGGGCAGATTGAGCAGAATTTATTTGCTCATAAAACAATTCCCGATTCTATTCCTGCTAATTATTTGTGTTCTGCTCTTTAACTCGTTTCAAAGCAAAGGAAGCTTGACAAAGTAGGTGTGCGTTCACGCTTGACATTCTCTCTCTCTCTCTCTTCCCCCTTTCTTGCCTCCCACCTCCCACCCACCACCAAAAAAAAAGGGAGACAAGCGCCTCTCTTTTTCTCCCCGGAGTTGTGAGAAGCGCTGTTATTTTTAAGTAAGTCTGCCGTGACTCTGTGATCTGGAAAAAGATCTGACGAAGAAAGATTACAACGAAAAATTGGGAAATTCTAATCAAAGCCATTTTTTTCTGCTATTAAAACATAAAGTATCATCTCCTCATTCCCTCCTCTCCTTGCTCAGTGATTCATTCACACCTTCCCCGAAAACCACTTTGAAGAGTTGTCTCTCATAAAAATTGGCTGCCGCGTTTCGCCCACAAAATATACAGTCACTGCACTTTACGGAATATTCGGTGAAGCGCTTTGAGACGTCTCGAAGACGTGATAAGGCGTTATATCAAATGCAAGGATTATTAGGATTATAAAAGGTGCCAAATACATCAGAACCTCCTGTTATAAGGTGATCGGTGATGGGTGGTGGGGGCCATCTCAACCAGTCTGAAATTGGGACGCAATTTGCGTTCGCGGAACAAAAGCGGATGACATTTATTTAGCGCCTTTCGCGTCGGAAGGACGTCCCAAGGCGCTTGTACCACTCTGAGACGTTTTAATCCCACTCCCAACCACCTTAGCTCTAATTGTAAGATGATATCCCTTTCGCAACATGCGAAAGTACGCGATTTCATTAAGTCAACAACAACGACAACTTGGATATGTACGGCGCCCTTCACGTGGGGTTAGAGTCCCAGAGCGCTTAGACACTTGACACTTTGAGCAATGTGCTGCAAGCTCTCAGGAGATAAGCTCATCTAATCAGATGGCGAGGAGAAAGGAAGGTCCCACACAGGTGAACACGTACATGGTGAAGTTGGAGATGAAGGCGGAGGCTGGGATCTGCATCTGGAAGCCTGCGTCGCTGGGGACGGAGGCACGATTGACCACAGTACACGACACGGCGGTGAAGGCATAGCGGGAGACGATGGTGGATTTCACCGTGAAATCCGTCACTTGTGGCTTACGGTCCTGCAACAACAACAACTTGCATTTCAGTTGAGCGAGAGGTTAAATGTACGGAACAGGCTCCCTTGGGAGAGACGGTGGGAGCAGAGAGTGTCAATTCTTTCCAACGCAAATTAGACAGATTTCTTTTAAGGAATAACGCGGCTGTTTGTGGGGACGCTGCTGTGCGCAATTGGCTGCCGCGTTTCGCTCACAAAATGTACAGTCTTTATCGACTTTACGGTATATTCTGTGATGTGCTTTGAGACCTCTCAACGACGTGATTATTATTATTAAGATAGATAGAGAGGAGGAGAGGCCAAGACGGAGAGATGGTGGCAGGACGTTCTGGAGGTCGGGGGCTTTAGGATTCAAGGCTCAACCAAACCTGCATCAGACGTCACACTGAACTATGGAATGTGCTATTTGATGTGGTTTACATCTCCTTTAATGAGCCCAAACAGAGTAGATATACTGGGCTCTCAGCACACACTCAGACTGTTATTAATCGTCAAGGGTTGACACTCGGTAAACCATTGCCCAGGTCACACCCCACCCAGAACCTTTCAATCCAGGACTTGAAAGCTTCGGTCTGTTTTGAAGTGGAGACGAGTCTGAAAGTGGCTCTTGAGGAAGCTGGGGTGGGAGGGTGAGGGAGGGGGTTTAACAAGGAAATCCTCCACGGATTCAGCAGGGATCACTTCAGGACAAAGATACCTTTAAAGCTGGGTTTTATCCATGGGGGCATTGGGGTGGGAGGGGTGGGGTGGGGAGGGGGGGAACTATTTCTCTTTTCCAATTGCGCCTGGACTTTAAGCTCAAAGCCCCGAGGTGGGGCTTGAACCCACAAACTTCACAGTGATTCACACAAATGGAGTGCACATAAATCCAAAGCCAGAACTTATCATAAAAAATAACAATTCTCGCATTTGACACAGCGCCTCATCACATCTACAAGTCGTCCCAAAGCGCTTCACAGAATATACTGTAAAGTGCATCGACTGTGTATTTTGTGGGCGAAACGCGGCAGCCAAGTGCGCACAGCAGCGTCCCACAAAGAGTCGTGAATTGTGTGATCAAATTATTCTTTTTTTGAAGGGGTTGTTACCCTCGGAAAACTAATCCGCCGATCGACTACTAACCGTGTTCCTATTTATTGCTAGGAAACAGAGGAGTGTGGGGTAAGGAAACTTGCAGAAGGTTTCGCCCTGCCCGGGAATCAAACCCAGCTCGCGAGGCGAGGGCTCTAACCAACAATAATAATATTAATAATAATAATAATAAAATAATCCTTGCATTTGATATAGCGCTTTTCACTTCTTCTCGAGGTCCCAAAGCGCTTCACAGAATATACTGTAAAGTGAATCGACTGTATATTTGTGGGCGAACGCGGCAGCCAATTGCGCACAGCAATGTCCCACAAACAGTCGTGGATTGAAAATGACCAATTTATTATTGTTTTGTTTTTTTGGAGGGATTATTATTAGGCTCTGTGTGGAGTAAGGAAACTTGCCCAAGGTTTCGCCCTCTGCCGGGAATTGAACCCGGGTCTCTCGCTTGCAAAGCATTATATATTACAATACATTACAGTGCTCGAAATTGGCTCCAGACTAGTAGTGACTATGTGGGGACACAGATTAACAATACAGTATAACATTGTGTAAAAAAAAATTCTGGGTTACTACAGATCTGAATGGTTCAATCACTCACAGGTCTCCAATAAGCACCGACTCCTCTGGAAACAGGTTGAACTTCCTTCAAGAGACAAAATAACCCATTATAATAATAATACAGTAATACTTTTTCTTCGAGAAAAAAAAGTATCTCGAGCAGTTCAGAAAAAAAAGAGCTGTTATGTTACTTGGATGGGTGTTTCCAACAGTGTGGCTCAGCCTTTTCGCTCACTCACTCCCCTCCCACATCAATGCTTCAGTGCAAAAACTGGTGGGTATTTAATTGCAAATTCGATTCTTTGAAATCAAAACAAATAAAAACGCGATTTTAAAATGTAACGTGCAACGTTAGGATGCCGTCTGAATGAATTCAATTCCAAATGAAATGCTGCGCGGTTGCTAGAACAGGCATCTATTTTTTTTAACTTGAAAAAATTAAAATTTCCAAGAAAAAATTTTTTTTTTCCATTTTTATATTAAAAAAAATTCCCCAGCCTTTTAAAATGCAATAACTTGAAACGTCTAACGATTAATATTATTGCATTTTAAATAACGCAGAAAGTTTACCCCCACATCCACCACCACCCCCCACCCTCCCACACCCTCAAAAAATTCTAGCCCCCTCCCCTCTTAAAATAAATGAATAGAAAAAAAAAGATTTGTAAATCGATCGACTTACATTCTGGGCATCTGCAAGAAAGGAGCCATCCGTTGATGTCCACGGCTTCTGTCCCCGAACTGCAGAGGAGAAACAACAGACGGAGAGGATAAGAAACATGTCAGACGCTCACACAGACTTGGGCACTTTGTGCTGGAGAGTGAGATTGACTTGCTGTGGGGTTGAACTCCTACTGAAACGTACAAGAGCCTTTGGAGGTGGGGCGAATGTTGATATCATGAGGCTGTTTCACTCACTGCTACACTTTCCAACTAACCCATTGCCTTCTGCAATCTTATTTGGCTTTTCTTTATCCCTTCCTGGAATATAACACTACTTACTGCTACGTCTACGACTGCTGCTAATTGACAATCCTTGCATTCGTATAGCACCTTACCACGTTGCTGAGACGCTGCGAAGTGCTTCACAGAATATAACAGCAACAACTTGCATTTATAAAGCGCCCTTCGCACAGGGTGGCTTGTAAAGTGCATTTTAAAAATAAATACGTGGGTTATGTGCATTCATTGAATGTGCATTTTTTGGGGGAATGAAACGCGGCAGCCAATTGGGCACAGCAGTGTCCCACAAACAGTCGTGGATTGAGTGACTGAATTATTATTTGTTAAGGTATCTTTCACCGTCTCCCCACCGGAAAGCGATCCGCCAATCGGCCAAACAACTGGGTTCCTACTTGACTAAGGTTTCGCCCAGGGATTGAACCCCGGTCCTCTCGCTTCGAGGCGAGTGCTCTAACCAATATACTACAGGACTCCACGTGACTCCAGGACTCCAAGTTTTTTAAAAATCTTGTCGTCTTTAAATATAACGTACATTTAATGGCCGACAATCTCCCATCCAACCATCCATCCCCGATAAAATGTGGTCACTTTGAAGCGCTTTAAGATGCCTCGAAGACGTTGTAATAGTCCAAGGATTCTTATTAATATTGACTTTGACTGACGGGTTGCCAATAATCTTTTTTTCTCTCTCTCTAACCCACTCCCCTCCTCCCCACGTGCGCACTCATGCTCTCAAAATCTGTTGTAAAAAAGGCTCTTGTGAAGCTTTTATACGTTCGAGAGAAGGGTGGAGGTGGGAGGGGGGGTGGTCCTTTCGAATAGTGCCGTGGGATCCGTAACGTGCACCTGAAATGGTTTAACGTCTAATCCGAAGGACAGCATCTCCGACCATACGGCTCCCCCACCCCCAGCGCTGCATTGGAGCGTCAGCTTAGGCTGTGTGATTCCGAGTCCCGATGTCAGGCTTGAACCCACAACCTTCTGACTCAGAGACAAAAGAGAGAGAGAGAAAGAGAATGAGAGAGAGAGGGAGAGAGAGAGAGAGAGAGGGCTAGTACTGAGCCAGGCGTTATTTTCCCCCGAATAAAGATCCCTCTGCTCGCCTCAGTCACTCAAGTCAAAGTCATGTCCCTTCGTGGGATGAGTTTGCCCGGTTGTAGAGCTCCATCGAGTGGTGAAGCAATGGAATTGTTCAGTCACGCCAAGTGCCGACAGGAGCAGAGCACACACCCATCGACATCGACGCGACAGTGAATGGGGTCCCGCGTGCAGTGCTGCGCGCGGAAATCTGCTTTTGTTCGCAACGCTGACCAAGTCTGGCTCAGTTGGCAGCTCTCTGGCCTCTGAGTCAGGAGGTTGGTTGAGCTCAAAGTCACGGCCAACATCCCAGCACGGTATTGGGGGGGGGGGAGGGTAGCCTTGCCTTGTTGGAGGTGCCGCCCTTTGGGTGAGACGTTAAACATAGGTAACGTTTACTTTCCACCCCCCCCTACCCCAAGTTAAAACATTGACCGACGGTATCATAGCTGTTGGCGTGACCTGTCGCTGTGTACAAATTAGCTGCCCGCTTTCACCTATAAAATAAACAGTTGCAACTCTTTAGGGTAAATCCCGTGAAGCGTTTGGAGATTTTACCCAAATAAAACTATGTGAGTGGGATCTGAGGGTGAGGGTTGGGGGTGGGGTGGGGGGTGGGGTTTAAAGAAGAAAGAAAAGTAGGTCAGTCAGTTATCAGTGATTATCAGCCACAGATGGAGAGAAGGGCATCCATCCTATTTACATAACCTCTACATCTCGTTTGGAGGTTAGGCAATGTGCAGCAAACAAATATTGACCATAGTCTTGGGCTGAAGGGGTGGTGGGTAGTTTGGGGGGGGGGCTTGGGGGAAGGTAGGGAAAAAAAAACTAGCAACGTAACTCTTTAACTTATTTTGGCCGTGTTTATAAATTAGTCGAAAGGTCTGTGTCCCTGGCCTTAGTGTGGTATAACCTCAGCTGCAATGAAGCCTCTCGGTGTCTTTCTCTGCCTCCTGTTCCTCTGCGAAATTAGGACGTTTGAGATATTCGTGAGCGACTCCTCGGAAAGGAGAGTAAGTTGGCAAACCTTGAAGCCTTGAGCAATTCTTTTTGCGATGGCCCGAAAAATTAACAACAACCACAAGAACAAATTGCATCTGTACAGTGCTTTTCACGTCGAAGAGGATGTCCCAAAGGTGGTGGGCAGTCAGGGATTTGCACCCGTGCTGCGGGTCGGGATCAGGGAGGGCAGGGAGGCGAGGGGTAAGAGGGTGACCTGAGGTGTGGTCACTTAAACTAATTTCATTGAAATTAAATGAACTTGCGGGCATTAACTGGAAATTAATTGAAGCCTTTAATGTTTTGTTATGAGTGGGAATGTGGCATGCTGAAAGAATATTGTCCCCGAGTGCCTGAAATTTCACGTGGTGTTAGTCATGAGATCCTCGGCTTAAAGTTTAAGTCCAAGATTGAGCAAAAACTTTTGGAAAACTTCTTGACTTCGGTCGTAATTTGTGTGGAGTCCAATAGTGTAGTGGTTAGAGCACTCGCCTCGGGACCCGGGTTCGATTCCCGGGCAGGACAAAACCTTAGACGAGTTTCCTTACTCCACACACGCGCCTCTGGTTACCTAGCAGTTAGTAAGAACCCGGTTGTTAGTCGATTAGCGGATCGCTTTCCGGGGCTAATAATCCCTCAAAAAAAAATAATAATTTGGTCACTCAATCCGCGACTGTTTGTGGGACGCTGCTGCGTGCAATTGGCTGTCAAGTTTTGCCCACAAAATATACAGTCAATTCACTTTACAATATATATTCTGTCAAGCGCTTTGTGACTTCTCAACTACGTGATAAAGCACTATATCAAATGCAAGGATTATTATTATTATTATTATTATTGTAAGTGTCTGAAATTTCATGTGGTTTTGGACATGAGATCATTGGTTTAAAGATTAAGATTGAGCAGAACTTTTGGAAATCTTCTTGAATTCAGTCGTACTTTTTTGTCTCGAACTTTTCGGACTTTATTCCACAGAGAAGAATGATTTTGAGGCGAAGGCAACGGAGGCTATTTGGACTTCAGGTTCCTCGCGCTCATCTGCAAATCCCTTCACGCCTCCCACCCTTTCTGACCCGTTCGCTCCCCACTCCACTACCCTCTGCCTCCCGCTTGTCCCCCGTCCCCTCCACCATCAGCGGATCTGCTTTCGGCCGCTGCACCCCAAAACTCTGGAACGCTCTCCCCCAATTCCTCCACCTTGCCCCCTCCGTGCCCTTTTTCAGATCTCGCCTGAAGACCTTCCTTTTCAACCGGTCACTTTCCCCCCCCACCACCCCTCATCCCCGGCTTGCCGTCAGGCTCAGCCACTGTTAAGCATTTCGGGAGGCTACCCCTCGTAAAGGGGGGGGGGGGGGCTATAGAAATACAAGTTGTTGTTGTTGTTGTGACCTGGCTTCAAGCATTGCCTTAAAATCTCCCTCTTTGACAGCCCCTTCCCCTCCCTCCAATGTATGGGGTCTGACTCCCCGCCACTGTGAAGCGCATTGAGAACTTAACCCATATGATGAGCGCTGTGTAAAATAGTAACTGCCTTTTTTTTTTGGCACCTGAATAACGTGACCGGTTCTCTCTATTCCAGAACATTTTCCCACTTCAGCTGGAAAAGTCTACTCACAGATATGGGTCACGGAGACATGTAAGAGCTAAATTAACCCAGTGACTCCGGAAACCAGTACGCTTCATCAAACCACTGCCGGTGAATTAGCATTTCGACCCAGGGCGTCAAACTTTGCGCTCAGCCGACTCCGGCCTCCTGCACGTCCCTCGTCCCCTCTGCTCCGCCTTCGGCGGCCATGCTTTGAGCGCGTTCGATTCCAGACACAACGGAGAAATTTCCATGTGTTGGTGACGCATGCACGCACACGTGTGAGGAACTCTCAGTCTGGTTCTCATGGTGATGATGGGTTTGCGTGTGTATCGGACACCGGTCTGATCGCCCCTGCTTACTGGAGTGAAATGTAAGATGTTTCCCAAGGCTTGGAGAAGGCGAAAACTATTTTTCACCCGTCCATTGGTAACTTTCAAGCCCCCAGTGGAAACGGTGTTCGGGCCGTACACAGGGTCACACAGTGTGAGCTGTTGTTTCTCTTCATGTCCCGTAGCTTAGTGGTTAGACCGTTAGCCTCGCAAGTGAGAGGACGCGATTCCCGGGAGCAGGCGAAACCTTGGGCAAGTTTCCTTACTCTATACCCACGCCTCTGTTTACCCAGCAGTAAGTAGGACCCGGTTGCTAGTCGATTGGCGGATCGCTTTAATAATCCCTTAAAACAAAACGAAAAAATTTGGTCACTCAATCCACGACTGTCTATGGGATACTACTGTAGCCCACAAGCACAGTCGCCCACAGAGTACACGGTCAATAAAACACTTTACAGCGTATTCTGTGAAGCTCTTTGAGAACGTCTCGACAACGCGATGAGGCGTGATATCAAACGCAAGTATTATTATTAATTCTATGATTATTACTCTTATTATTATTGTTCTTAAATCTCCACAGAGAAGCCTTCAAGTCAACGAAAAGAAGCAGAAAGCAGGGGAGGTGGGAAAAAGCTTTGTGTTTTGCTTGAGTGGTTGAAAATTGCTGACTATTTTAGCCATTATCTGCTGATCGATGCTGTACTGTTTACGTGACTCACGGGTTGCTGACACACACACACACACACACACACATACTCTCTCTCAACTTTTGTAAAAATTGACTTAGGCCCAGAAGTTTCACAAGTTTTAGGTTCCCTCAACTTGACCGAAATCCTGTGATGGGCCGTTGGTACAATATGTCCGAGCGCCACTTTGAACCAGTTTTCCCCAAATGGGTCAATGTCAGATTCCACCCCCCCCCTCCCCCCAGACTTGTATCACTGACCAGAAGGCTTCTTGCCCTAAAAAATGGTTGACTTCCAGATCATCAGGTCACTGCTGTGTTACTTCCTTTTGCTTCTGGGACTGGGGTTTGAAGCTCAAAGATTGCTGGTAATATTGTCACTGACCGACTGACTGACCAATTGACTGACTCCACCCCATCCTCACCAGCACCAAACTCCGCACACATCATCCCGGTCCTCGCCAGCTGGCTGCCGTATTCACCCAAAGTCACTGCACTTTCCGTGAAGCCCTTTGAGACGTCCTCCTGACTTGAAAGGTGCCTTCTCCCCCCCCTCCCCACCTCCGAATCTCTCTATCGTTCTGATCTCCTCTTATCTCATTCCACTGCTCGCTCCCCTCCGCTCGTCTATCTCAGGCTTCCTTGCAAATTCCACCGCCCTTTCCTGTTCCACCAATTCAATGCCCTATAAGGAGTCCTGTAGCTCAGTGGTTAGAGCACTCGCTTTGCAAGCGAGAGACCTGAGTTCAATTCCAGACAGAGGGCGAAACCTTGGGCAAGTTTCCTTACTCCACACAGAGCCTAATAATAATCCCTCCAAAAACCAAAAACAATAATAAATTGGTCATTTTCAATCTACGACTGTTTGTGGGACATTGCTGTGCGCAATTGGCTGCCGCGTTCGCCGACAAATAAAAGGTCAATTCACTTTACAGTGTGTTCTGTGAAGCACTTTGGGACGTCCTCCCGATGTGAAAAGCGCTATATCAAATGTAAGGAATATTATTATTATTATTATAATAATAATCCTTGCATTTGATATAGGCGCATTATCGCGTCTTTGAGACGTCTTCAAAGCGCTTCACAGGACATACTGCAAAGTTAATTGACTGTGTATTTTGTGGGCGAAACGCGGCAGCCAACGGCGCACAGCAGCGTCCCCCGCAAACAGCCGTGGATTGAGCGACAGTTTGAAAAAAAAATCCCAATCTCTGTCGCGTTTAAAATACTAACAGAAATATGAATCTTCTTTTTAAAAAACAAGGAAGTTCGCTGTTTTGCAATCACGGAGTCAGGGAAATAATAACTGCGTCCGTTTGTTTTTCCGCCCAGGTACCCTTGGAAGACCCGATCATCATCGACAGTTACAAAGTCAGAACCATCATTACTTCCCGTTTTGCCGAAACGGTGTTTAGCACCAAAGTGGTCAACAAGGACTCGTCAGCGCAGACGTTGCAGTTTAGCGTCCAGATCCCCAAAACCGCCTACATCACCAACTTCACCATGTGAGTCTCTCAAAGCATTTCTGTGTCCTTTTCATCTCGGGACGCTCCACGGATCTGCCACAAGCGAGAGGACCCGGGTTCGATTCCCGAGCAGGACAACAACAACCACAACAACAGCAGCATTTATATAGTGCCCCTCACCCAGGGTAGTGTCGCAGAACGCTTTGCGAAAGGACGAAACGCTCGGCAAGTTTTCGTACTCCACACGCCCTCTGTTTACCCAGCAGTAAGTCGGATTGTTAGTCGATTGGCCGATCGCTTTCCGGGGGTAATAATCCCTCCAAAAAAAAAAAGTCACTCAATCCACGACTGTTTGTGGGACGCTGCCGTGCGCAATTGACTGCTGTGTTTCGCCCATCAAATACACAGTCACTCCACTTTACAGTATATTCTGTGAGGCGCTGAGGGACGTCTCAATGACGTGATAAAGGCGCTGTAATCAAATGCAAGGATTATTATTGTTCATAATATGAATAAACCCGGACACTCCCAGACAGTTAAGGCGACATCCGCAAGTTAAGTTTAAAAAGTTTTGAAGCCATTTGAATTCCTGTGAGGGAGATATTTTTCAGAGCTTATCTCTGTGTTCTTTGAAGAGCTTGAGTACGTTTCAATGCCCAGAGTCAGGCAAGGCTTTTCCATGAAAACAGTTGGACTCTGGTCCTTTAGCATTCCGGAGGGTATGTACACTGCCTCACATGATTATCCTCGGGATATTGTTATCTGGGCTTTCTGCCATTTAGCGGTGACATTACGCAACCCAATAGGTGAACAGGAGAGAAAAAAAATGTCCATTTCAAAGGGAAATTGACCCAAACAGAATGACAAATTTGTGTCCTCATCTTGAGCAGGTTTCTGAACTTACATTTGGTGTACGTTAACTTATTCTGGATGCAGAACCTCTTAACGTCAAAGCTAATTCCTGTTGTATCTTTTGTAGGCTGCCAATTTTGCAATTTTTTTGGGGGGTAGGGGGGGGGGGAGAGAGGGGAGGTCGGAGATATAAAATAATATTAATAACAACCCTTGCATTTGATGTAGCGCTTTATCACGTCATTGAGACGTCTCAAAGCGCTTTACATATGCTATAAAATGGACTATCAGCGCCTTGGGACGTCCTCCCGACGTGAAAGGCGCTATCCAAATGTAATCTTGTTGTTGTTGTTGTTGATGACTGTATATTTTGTGAGCGGAACACGGCACCCAATTGCGATGGGCCGAATGGCCTCCTTCTGCCATACGAGATTCCATGAAACAAATAAAACTGAGGAACTGATTCAAGCTTTTCACGCCTCCCACGCAGGATGGTGAACGACATCACATTTGTTGGGTCGGTGCAAGAAAAGAACGCAGCTCGCAGACTGTACATGGACGCCCGAAGGGAAGGAAAGGCCGCAGGTATTATTCGGTAATGCTCTCTTCTTCTGATTTTCATCCGAGTGTGGGTTTCTGAGGGGCTAAAATGCAGTATGTGGTGGGCAGACTCCTGATGGTGTAGTGGATAGAACCTCACCTTACAGTCCAGTCCTGGAGTCCTGTAGCTCAGTGGTTAGAGCGCTCGCTTCACAAGCGAGAGGACCCAGGTTCGATTCCCGGCAGGGGTGAAACCTTTCCTTACTCCACACGCACGCCTCTGTTTACCGAGCAAACTGTTTGTTAGTCGATTGGCGGATTGTTTTACCGGGGGTAATAATCCTTTCCAAAAAAAATAATAATAATTTAGTCACTCAATCCACGGTGAAGCGCTTTGAGACGTCTCGACAGCGTGATACGGCGCTGTATCAAATGCAAGGATTAATATTATTATCTTTGCTTTCCCTGCTTCGAAGACCCTTTATAAGCAAGGTAGCTTTTCAACCGTGCCTTTGGTGAATTTTGGTACCTCTATTTCCCATCTTGCTTTAGTTTCCAAGGACTATTATTATTATTATTATTATTATTACAAAGCAAAGGGCTTTGTGACATCCTCCTGAAAGGCACTCTATCACGTGTGAGGAATACTGGTACTTATTGCGGCCTTATCAATTTTAGGACCAATGGGTATGACATGGAGAACTTTAAAGCTGAGATGAACGTCCCTGCCGGGAGCATCACCACCTTCGAGCTTCACTGCCAGGAGCTCTTGCAACGGCACCTCGGATTTTACGAGCAAGTCACCGTTCTCCGGCCTGGAAACCTGGTGAAGAACCTCCAGGTATGCCTGGGAATGTCTCCTGCGTAACGGATGAGTTTGCGAACTTTCTTAGCAGATTTGAAGCCCCGTCCAATCTATTGTGATTTCATGGCAAATTTACCCCCATACTGTCAATCCGGCGTTTTAAGCTGGACAAACGGACTAACTACAAGCAGACAGACTGACTTACGACAAATCCCTTCATGCACTGCCACCTCCCTACCTTTCTGACCGCCTCTCTCCTCACTGCACTACCTTCTGACTCCACTCAGATGGCTCCGGCCTCCTGCTTGTCCCTTGTCCCCTCCTCCCCTCCACCATCGACAGCCGCCTCTACTCCCCGAAACTCTGGAATGCTCTCCCCCAATCCCTCCACCTTGCCCCCTCCTTCCCCTCTTTTAGATCAGACCTTCCTCTTCGACCGTGCTTACGGTCGCCTCCTGCCTCCCCCTGGCTCGGGGTCAGGCTCCGCCACTGTTAAGCGCTCCGAGACTCGGTCCTGTGTGAAGGGCGCTGTATAAATCATCTTGTTCTCGTTGTTTGAAGACCCTCGTTCTTACCTCACGAACGAACACCTCTACGCCCGCACCCAACATCATTTCAATTCAACCCGCCTTTAGGAGAGGAGAATTAATGGAAGGAAATGGAAATCAAATCAACCTTGAGGTTTGATAATCCACGTGTTTCCTTTCCTCAGATTGATGTCTACATATACGAACCCGAAGGCATCAGAACAATCGAGGCACCAAACATGCTTGGGACACAGTTCGACGGACTCATTAAAGTAACTCAGGGGGAGCATAAGGTAAGCGGGAACAACTGGCTCTGTTTGGAGTTTCCAACTCACAGCAACATCTCACTAACATTATTTGTTGTTGTTGTTGTTGCAGTTTGAGTTGCAGTCTGTTGAATAAGCCCAATTTGTTTTTCAGGCTCACGTGTCCTTCAAGCCCACTTTAGACCAACAGAGAAAATGTCCAAACTGCTCCGACTCAGCCATTGACGGGAGTATCGTCGTGAGATACGATGTGAAGCGGGAGCTGAACGGTGGAAGTATCCAGGTCATTTTTGCAAATATCCTGCCCTAACTTCCTAAGTCCTCCTTTGTGTCAACTTGGCGTAGTTGGTAAAAATTCCTTCGTAAAAAAATAATAATAAATTTGGTCAGTCAATCCGCCGCTGTTTGCGAGACACTGCACAATTGGCATTATTTAAAATAATATGTGGCTGCCGGGTTTCTGGTTGCGTTTCCGTGCGCAAGGCAGGTGGAATTTCACATTCCCTTTCACTTTGTTTTTCTCTCCCTCACCCTCTGGAACTCCAACCCTGAATCCCTCCACCTCGTTCTCTCACTCAGCTACTTCGAGGCCCATCTCAAGACCTTCCTCTTTGACCGTGTCCTTCGGCCAACCTCCCAGCCCCCCCCCCCCCCCACTCCCCCTACCCTCCTCCACCCCTCTTGATTCCAACCCCCCAGCTCGGGTGCGAACCCTCAACTTGGGAGCGCCTTGGGACGTCCTTCCGAAGTGAAAGGTGCTGCGTAAATTTTTGTTGTTTTTTTGTTTTTAGAATGAGATCCCGTGAAGAGCTTTGAGACGTTCTCCAGACGGGAGAGACGCTGTAAAATGTAGTAATAGTAACAAATAGTGTTATTAATGTCCCTTTCACTATTATGGGAAGACTAGTTCAACTTTGTGGTGAAATCAAAGCAAGTGGCTGGGAACACTCAGCGGGTCAGGCAGCATCTATGGAGAGAGGAGAGTGAGTTAAAGTTTTCGGTCGATGACCTTCCGTCAGAACCTGAAACGTTAACTCGCTTTCCTCTCTCCGTAGATGCTGCCTGACCTGCTGAGTGTTCCCGGCCACTTCTATTTTTCCAGCCTCTGCACTTCTTTTTGCCTCATCTTCTAAAATTTTGTGCTGAAATGTTTTCCTTTGTGACCGCAGATCGCTGATGGGCATTTCGTTCACTTCTTTGCTCCGAGTAACCTGCCACCGCTTCCTAAGAACATCATCTTTGTCATCGATGTGAGCGGTTCGATGTGGGGGATTAAGATGAAGCAGGTGAGCTTCTCTCTCCCGACAGCTAAATGTTGGGGACGGCATCAAACAGGAGATGTTTTGACAGCCTCACGTGCAACAGTCAATTAGCGATTCCCCCTGACATGAGCTTCACACTAAAAGGGCAACATCACACGTCATAAGCCCAATCAGAGAAGGGAATTTCTCTCTCCCGGTGTCCTGCCCAACAATCTCCCCGGGTCAAATCAGTCACTCACTCCACTGTTTGTGTTTGTTGGTGGGGACGCTGCTGTGCGCAAACTGGTTGCCACGTTTCGCCCTCAAAATACACAGTCAATCCACTTTGCATTATATCCTGTGAAGCGCTTTGAGACGACACGAAAGGATTATTTCATAATATTGTAATATAGTATTATTGGCTGAAGAGGTGCAGTTTTATGGTGCAAAATGACGGCAAGTGCTTTGTGGGTAGATAGATAAATAGAACCCGCAGACAGAATCTCGCGTCAGTGCAATGGTTCACAGAATGCGTTAAACTTCCAGCACAGTAATCATACTAATAAACACGATAATCCTTGCGTTTGATACAGTGCCTTATCGTGTCTTCGAGACTTCTGAAAGCGCTTCACAGAATATACTGTAAAGTGAACTGACTGTATATTTTGTGGGTGAAACTCGCCAGCCAAATTGCGCACAGCAGCGTCCCACAAAGTCGTGGATTGAGTGACCAAATTATTATTATTATTATTATTTTTTAAAGGGATTATAACCCCTGGAAAAGCGATCCGCCAATCGACTAACACCCGGGTTCCTACTTACTGCTGGAATACTCCCTTATCCCCGGTACAGTTTACGGATCTCGTTAGATTTCCGTTTGCAATTTGAAGTTGCCAGCTCTGGTATTTATTTATGTGGAACAGCTCACTGAGACACCACGAATAGTTCAGCGAGAAGAATGAGCATTTGGATCTCAATAAAGGAGCCGGCAGAAGGGCCATATGGAGCAGTAATGATAAGAGACAGTAATTGAGCAACACTAATGACAAACACAGTGCTAGGACAATAATGAAGTCTTAATGGGATATTAAACCTGCTAAGCTGCGCCAACATGTATAAGGATGAACAAACAAGGAGACACTAATGGCTCCAGTTACATTTAGCAAACAGATGTTCCTTCAAATGTCACCTTTAAGTGCTGTACATGATCCATTACTTTTTGTTGCTTTCGTGGAGAATTGCAATGCAATGAACCTTCTGAGAGTGTCTGGCCTGCACATCGGGTCATAGTCTATCCTGGCGGTCATCCCCAACGCATAGCGTGGTAACTGTCCAGCCTTGCGTGGAGTCCTCTAGCATAGTGCTGAGAGCGCTCGCCTTGCAAGCGAGAGGATTCGGTTCATTTCCCGGGCAGGACGAAACCTCAGGCAAGTTTCCTTACTCCACGCTCACACACACACACACGCGCGCACACGCCTCTGTTTACCTGGCAGTGAGTAGGAACCTGGTTGTTAGTTAGTCAATTGGTGGATTGGTTTGAACGGAACTCTACATCTAATGAGACGGCTGGGTTTTTCCACGCTAGACGGTTGAGGCCATGAAGACAATCCTGGACGACCTGCGACCCGAAGACCAATTCACCATCATCGACTTCAACCACAACGTGCGCGTGTGGAACAAGCTGCTGCTTCCAGCCACGTCCTTTAATGTCAAAGATGCCAAAGATTACGTCATGAGAATTCAACCTTCCGGTGGTGCGTCATCCATTCATTTGTTCATTGATTCATTGATTTATTGACTGACTGACTGACCGACACACCCATCCATCCACCCACCCAACATATTTACAGGGAACCATACACAGAGCTACAAAATGCAGTCACGACACTTTACAGTATAATTCGTGAAGTTCTTTGGGACGTCTCGAAGACATGATAAGGCGCTATATCAGATGCACGTATCATTATTATTATTATCATTATTATACAGCTGAAACAAACAGACTCAACGGGGTGAATGGCTTATTTTACTCCTATTCGTGCGCCGTAGCGATGTATCGGTTGCTTCTCTTTCCCATCGCCGTGTTGACTGGCACAGCGTCTCTCTGTTTCACATGGAGTGTGCGAGCCTTCCTTGTTGGGTTGCGTTGTCCCATTCTTTGTGTTTTTTAATCTAAAAACAGGAACAAACATTAACGAAGCCATCCTGACAGCCATCCACATCCTGACGGAAGCCAATTACCTTGGTTACCTGGATGAACGATCCGTATCGCTCATTGTTCTGGTTTCAGATGGCGATCCCACTGTGGGTAAGGTTTCAACTGCACTTTGGGTCTTTGCTGCCGCCCTGGCTCAGTTGGTAGCGCTCTCTCTCTCTCTCTCTCTCTCTCTCTCTCACCTCTCAGTCAGAAGATTATGGGTTCAAGCTCTCACGTCAGGAGTTGGAATTGCATCTAAGCTGATTTTCCAATGCAGAACAGGGGTGGGGGTACGTTGCGTTGTCAGAGACGTTAAACCGAGGTCTCGTCTGCCTGTTCAGGCGGACGTTAAAGATCCCGCGGCACTATTCGAAAAGAGAAGGGAGTTTTTCTCTCTCTCTCTCTCTCTCCTGGTGTCCCTGGCCAACAACCCCCCAAATATAATTGGCCCCTCACCCCACGGCTGTTTGTGGGGACGCTGCTGTGCGCAATTGGCTGCCGCGTTTCACCCGCAAAATACAGAGTCAATTCACTGTACAGTATATCCTGTGAAGCGCTTTGAGATGCCTCAATAACGTGATAAGGCGCCATACCAAATGCAAGGATTATTATTATTATTATTATTAACCCCAACTCTTTCCAATACGCCATTGAAATGAAGGCGAGATTAAGCTGAACAACATCCAGAGGAATGTCAGGAAGAACATGCAAGATGATTTCTCCCTCTTCTGCCTGGGAATTGGCTTCGACGTGGACTACGATTTCCTGGAGAGGATAGCGCTCGAAAACCGTGGACTCGCCCGGCGCATTTACGCAAACCAGAACGCTTCCAGTCAACTCATGGTAACAGCTTGAGTTCTTTCCTCTCTGCCTTCCGCTCTCATCTCCCTCCAATGTCAGTGGAAGTTTGGTTACGCCTCTGATGGCGAGTGGATTTGCCTTTCGCCTGAGTGGCTCAGTTGGTAGCATTCTTGCCTCGGAGTCAAAAGCTTGTGGGTTCAAGCCTCACATCAGGGCTTTGGAGCTCAGGCTGACATAGTGTTGAGGGTGGATGGATGTGTATGTGTGTGTGCTGCATTATTGGAGGTGCTATTCTTTGGATGAGCAGTTAACCCAAAGTCCTGTCCTGACTGTCCCTGTTCGAGTGGGTGTCAAAGATTCCATTGCACTACTCAAAAAAGCAAGGGAGTGTCTCCTGGCTGTTTGCCTTGGCTGTTCGTGGGGACGCTGCTGTGCGAAAATCGGCTGCTGAGTTTCACCACGCAAAATACACGGTCAATTCACTTTACAGTAAATCCTATGAAGCGCTTTGAGGCGTCTGAATGACGTGTCAAGGCGCGATATCAAATGCAAGGATTATCATCATGATAACGTTCGGGTGTTTTATTCAGATGAATCTAACCTACACGCGCGTCAATGAGTCTCTAGTTCATTGCCATTGTTTACCCACTGTAAGTGGAAACGCCACTGTAGGTGGGAACCCGCTTGTTAGAGTCGATTTTCGGATCGCTTTCCGGGGGTAAATAATCCCTCAAAAAAAACCCCCACCTCAATCTATAATTGTTTGTGGAAATCGCTGTGAGCAATTGGCTGCCGCGTTTCGCCCACAGAAGGCACAGTCGCCACACTTTACAGTATATTCTGCGAAGCGCTTTGAGAACGTCTCGAAGACGTGATAAGGCACTGAATCGAATGAGAGGTTTATTATTGTTATTATTATTGTTATTATTATTATTATCATCCGGTTTGCAGAACTTCTACGAAGAAGTGGCAACGCCTCTGCTGAAGAAAATCAACATCTTATACGAGGAGGCATTTGTGACCGACGTGACACAGAACGTGTTTGACAAGTATTTCCGTGGCTCCGAGCTGGTTGTGGCGGGAAAGCTGACGGACGATCACCCTTCGCTCTTACACGGCATAGTGACAGCTTGCTCTGTGAGATTCCTTCCTTTTTTTGTGCCCCGGCCGGGTGTCTGATGAGCGTGGAAACCCATCACCGCGCTTAACCAAGCTGAGCATTCCATGCCTGCCACCTACTTTCTGATGCGCTTCCACGCAAAGTGTACAGTCGAGTCCGGCTGAACGGTCTCACGGGATATTTTTCAGTACACGAGAGAGGAGGTGATTCAGAAAGGGGCCCTTTTAGAACAGTTCGGTCACATTTTGGTTTTGACTTTCAAGGGCAGACCAGTCACTGGTGGCAGGGAGTTCTCCCACTCATCCCTGCAAGCCAAAGCCCCAACGGGGAGGGTGGTCCTAGCTGGACAGGCAGCGGGAAAGCTTGCCGGACAGCTCTCTCAATTCCAAGCTACGCGGTTTTAGCTGGTCAGACTTCCAACGCACAGCCTTGGCTCTTGCCAGCCTACACCAAACACTCTGTTTACTTAGCAGTAAGTGTTTGACAAGGTCGGAACCTGGTCGCTAGTCGATTGATGGGTTTTGTCCACAAAATATGCAGTCAAGTCGTGATAAGATGCTATATCAAATGCAAGGATTATTATTATTATTATTATTATTACCCTTTTTCAGGCAAATAGCGACCTGCGATTTGAAATAGACTCCCCGACAGATAAACTGGACGACATTCTGGCCAAGCAGAAATTTGCTCTCAAAGACTTTACAAAGCAACTCTGGGCATACCTCACCATCAACCAGCTGTTAGCAGAGAGGTCAGTAACCAAGCGTAGGTTTATTACGTATCCTTTCTTCATGGAAGGTTTGTATATTTTTCTTCATCCGCAAATTGTCTATGCCCATAAAATACACAATCACCGTATTTTACAGTATATTCTCTAAAGTACTTTCAGATGTCTCAACGACATGATAAGGCGCTACTTTGAATGCAAGAATTATTATTATATTATTATTGGTGTCCTGTGACGAATTGGTTAGAACACTCCATCCAAAAAAAAATAATAATTTGGTCGCTCAATCCACGGCTGTTTGTGGGGACGCCGCTGTGCGCAATTGTCTGCTGTGCAAAATGCACAGTCAACTCACTTTACAGTATATTCTGTGAAGCCCTTTGGGTCGTCTCGACGACGTGATAGGGCGCTGTATCAAATGCAAGGATTATTATTGTTAATATTATTGTTGTATTAAACAGCATCTGTGCAAACTTCACAACAGGTTGTTGGCCACCTCAGGTATGCAGAAGAGGAACATTACTCAGAGGATCTTGAATCTGGCTCTGAAGCACCAGTTTGTGACCCCAATGACTTCTCTGCTGGTACAGAGTGAGCAGACCAACCAGAGGCTACTGGCAGATTCTCCGACAGACACCAGAAACGGCTGCTGTACCGGTTAGTGATCAGCCTGGCTCAGACAGCAGTATTCCCTCTCACCTCTCCTTGCACCTCTCCGACCTGCTTACTCCCCACTCCACCGCCCGCAGGATCTGCTCGGCTGGCTCCGGACTCCTGCTTGTCCCTCGTTCCCTCCACTCCACCTTCGGCGGACGTGCTTTCAGACGACCTGATGATGCGCAATGTCACAGGCAAGGATCATTATTATTAATAATTATTATTATCGTTTCCTTTGCAGGGACTTCTGGTATTGGGAGGAAGCTTCCGCCACCAAGTAAACCAGATTGGGCCCTTCCACCCATACAAAGCCCTTCCTCTGAGGTACTTGGTCAGATCCAGGAAGCCCTTCCACCTGAACTCACCTCTACTGTAACATCAGGTAATGCTCTCATAGACCTTCTACCAAGTTTTTCACTTCAGGCTTATTTATTCCATCAACACATGGTGGAGTTCTGTAGCTCAGTGGTTAGAGCGCTCGCCTTGTAAACGAGAGGACCCAAGTTCTATTCCCTGCCAGGGGATGAAACCTTAGGCAAGTTTTCTTACTCCACACACACACCTCTGTTTACCTCGCAGTCAGTAGCAACCTGGAACAATTTGGTCACGCAATCCACGATTGTTTTTGGGACGCTGCTGTGCCCAATTGGCTGCCGCGTTTCGCCCACAAGATATACAGTCAATTCACCTTACGGTATATTCTGATAATGCGCTATATCAAATGCAAGGATTATTATTATTATTATTATTAAGTTCCACCCTCCGGAACTCCATCCTGGAGCCCCTCCACCTTGCCCCCTCCCTTGCCTCCTTCAAGGCCCATGTCCAGACCTTAGATCCATAGAAATTTGCAGCACAGAAGAAAGTCATCCGGTCTATCATGTCTGTGTCGGCTCTTTTAAAGTGCGATCATTTCGCTGACAATGTTATTCAAAAGAAACAATGCTAACTGTGAGTTTTTGCTCCTTTCTAGTTGAAAATGATCCACATTTCATTATCCACTTGGCCCAAAGTCAACAGGATGTTTGCTTCAATATCGATTCCCAGCCCGGAAAAATCCTGAGCCTGGTGTCAGATCGAACTAAAGGTGAGAGAGAAATGGAGGGCGGTCGAAGGCACGATCAAAGAAGAACCAATTGAAGCGGTGAGGTGGAGGGATTGCGGGATAGAGTTCCAGAGTGTGGGGGCAGAGATGCTGAAGGCCTGACTGCCAATGGTATGGTGGAAAGGAAGTGTGGGGGACCTGAAGCCGGCCTGTATCGCAGAGCGGAGGCAGCAGCACGAAACCCAGATTGGAGGGTTTCATGGAGGGAACGCTGGGAGAGGAAAGAGTGAAGCTGGGAAGCAATGACTCGTTCCATGATCTTTGATAGAAAAGAAAGGTTTGAAAGCGGGCGGTGGTTGGAGAGCAGAGACGGGTCAAGGGAAGGTTTTTTGAGGGTAGGGGTGACGACGGCTCTCTTTAGGGGGATGGGTAAGATGCCATCGGTTAACAGGAGCTGAGTGTGTTCTGCCCTTCCAAGTCGTGCTGATGAGCCAGGCTTTTCTGGAGGGATGAGATTGTATAGGGACCAAGAGCCTTGTTCATCCAGACCGATCTGGTGATCTTGTGGAACCACAGGAGATAGTTTTATCTGCATCAAGGACGAGGGATTATTATATGAAATAATATTACCACCTGCTGGCAGAAACACCAACTACACCTAGATAAACACACTGATCGCAAAGATCATAAGACAAGAGCAGATGTAGAAAACCCTTGAAGACCTTAGGCAAGTTTCCTTACTCCGCACGCCTCTGTTTACCCAGCAGTAAGCAGGAACCCGGGTTGCTAGTCGATTGACAGATCACTTTCCGGGGGGGTGGAGGGTAACAATCCCTCCAAGAAGAATATTTGGTCACTCAATCCACGACTGTTTTGTGGGACATTGCTGTGTGCAATTGGCCTCATTTCGCCCACAAAATACATCAGGAGGCCAGGATGCTGGGACTCAGTTTAAAAAAAAGCAGATTGATGCTCCGATGGGCGCACAGTAGGGTGAGTCTTCTGAAAGGAAGGGATCAAATGGATTGAAAGGGCATTTTTCACCCGAACCTGACCTTGTGTGACGTGTCTTCACTGAACTATCTCTGTTGGCAGGAGTTGCTGTCAATGGCAGACTGGTGGGTGGCAAAAAACCCAAGAATAACAAGCTGAACACCTACTTTGGCACGATTGGCCTCACCTTTACCAAACGCAACCTCCGCATTGAGATCAGCACCGACAAGATTGTCTTGATAGGCGCCAAGTATAAAACTTTCCTGTGGTGGTCCGAGTCGAGCTCTCTGGCTCAGGATGGGTAAGATTACTGCATTGTACCGTACCATCCAACATTGCACCACACTTTGGGCATCACACTACCAAGGCACGGCCGGTGGCAGATCAGTCACCGAGGGGCAGGGATTATTCTCACTCGGCTCCTGTTAATCTTAGCAATCCATTACACTGCCCGCTTTACTATCCCTACATTAATATTCCGCTGCTCGTCCAGCTCAGACAAGTGGAGTGCTGGGAGCATGTTGGTCAGAGCACTCGCCTCGCAAGCGAGAGGACCGAGGTTTGATTCCCGGGCTGGGCTGTGTGAAACTTTGGGCAAGTTTCCTTACTCTGTCTACTCAGCTGTACGTAGGAACCCGGCTGTTAGTCGAAGGGCGGATCGCATTTCCGGGTGTAATAATCCCTTCACAAAAAATAATTTGGTCACTCAATCCACCACTGTTTGTGGGGACGCTGCTGTGCGCAATTGGCTGCCGTGTTTCACCCACAAAATGCAAAGTCAATTCTCTTTACAGTATATTTAGTGAAGCGCTTTGAGACGTCTTGAAGAAGTGATAAGGTGATATATCAATTGCAGGGATTATTTGTGTACTATTATTATTATTTTATTATTATTAGCATTAGGACCACTCTACCGATTAGGGTTGTGGTTTAATTAACATGCAGTTGGAGCAACAAAATCTGATTATTTTCTTAATACCGTACAACTTCTTATTTCAGCCTGACTGTGTTAGTGACGAAAAACCGCAACGTAACCATCAGCGTGGGTAAGGAAATGGTCTTCCTGATCCTACTCCATCGTGCCTGGAAACATCATCCCACCAATGTGGACTTCCTGGGATTTTATTCTCCCCATTCAAACAACTTCTCAGCAGACGTTCATGGCTTGATTGGTAATTATATTTCTATTTCTTCAGCTTCAAACTTAGAATGACTTGGCAACCTTGATACGACTCCTTATCACGTCGTTGATTTGTTCTTGAAACAAATGTAATTTCAAGAACAAATTAGATTGATTTCCGCTGGAAAATAATATCTGAATATACAGTATATAGTTTGGGGACACGACAGATCAAGTGACTGCCAGGATGGTGGAAGGCGAACGAGACGGACCTTTTTTTGTCGCCGAGCAAATTCTTATGTTCTTACATTCATCCGAAACTTTCTTGTGATCTCTTTGCAGGTCAGTTCACCCAGGAACCAGCAGTGAAAATCTTCAATATCCGTCCGGGCTCAAATACAGACAAACTGCAAGCCACCATGGAAGTCAAAGGGCACAATCTTACAGTCACCAGGTAAGGGAACATCAAAGGGACTATCATGCAATGGCACTGCTTGATAGCAGTGCGGGTCTGCTTAGAAACCGGGTCAGCAAATGAAGGGAACTGATCTTGCTCACTGGAACTTCTCTGTAATAATAATCCTTGCATTTGCTACAGCACCTTATCACATCATTGAGACGCCTCAAAGCGCTTCACAGGATATACTGCAAAGTGGATTGACTGTGCATTTTGTTGGGGAAACACGGCAGCCGATTGCGCACAGCAGCGTCCCCACCCAAGCAATAAGTAGGAACCCGGTTGTTAGTTGATCACTCCAAAAAAATTTGGTCACTCAATCGATGACCACTTGTAGGACACCGCTGAGCGCAATGGGCTGCAGTGTTTCACCCACAAAATATAGTCAATCCACTTTACAGTATATTCTGTGAAGCACTTTGAGACGTTTCAACGACGTGATAGGGAGCAATATCAAAGGCAAGGATTATGATATTATTATCTTTATGGAGAAGGCAAATGTAATCATAAATAACCATGTTCTCTCTCCATTTTCCCTGCAGGGGATTGCAGAAGGACTACAGGCTAAATGTAGTGAATGGAACGGATGTCCATTGCTGGTTCATCCACAACAGCGGGAAAGGCTTTATTGATGGACATTACAAAGATTACCTGGTTCCATTCCTTCACCGCTTCTTGCCACGTCCGTGATAGCTTTTGCACGTCTCTGCAAAGCCTGGGCGTCTGCACCATACGTTCATAAGCGTTACATGCATTTTAGAGTAAAAAAAATAGAAACTTGGGAGTCATTAAGTACAGTATATGCTCACAAAATGATTTGACGCAACTACTATTAAATGCGGTAAGTTTCTAACTGTTCTATTCTCCAGTACATCACACTTGCGAGCGCGCACACACACACACACACACATTTACATGACTCTCACCCACGGAAAAATGAAAGAAAAGTACATTGTTCATTAATTGTTAGATTGGAAGTGTAAAACGTGACACGATGTGATAATTATCGCACGGATGGAAATTGCGTGTGACCATGGCTCAGTCGATGTTTATTGAGCCCAAAGCTGTCAGCGATAGCTATTGATTGAGTGATTGATTCCTGTCAATGGATATTTAAGATTTCAGTCACTTTGTCCCACATGCGGTAAACCCATGCTTAAGATTATCCTCAGTTTGTTTTGGATACTCTGAAGCATCGGTGATGGGTTTCCACGCTGTCAAGACACCCGGATGACCAAAAATATATCCCAAAGCTACACTGAAATTCTTCGATCCACATTGTCATGGTCAGAGGGTGTTGTGTTCACCTCCACAAAGGCATCGACAAGGGCTGAATTTCCGACGGTCTTATATCGACGGTGATAATTATCATCATGTTACTAATTTAGTAGTGAAAACATTTTGTACAATTCTGACCGGTGGATCCTAATGGTTTTTGTAACAAACGTTTCTGGTTTGGCACATCAACTGCAAATGGAAAGAGAATTGCTACCAACATTTTGCCTGTGATGAATGAGGCAAAACACGATTTGTGACCTTTTTCTGCTAGTTTTTCCACCATCTCTATTTACCCTAATCCAGCTGTTAAGTGCCTTAACTTTTAAGTTTGAATAAAAAAAATATAGTGCCTTAAAACAAAATGATATTGTATGCACCGTTTGCAAATTAAATTAGCAGTGGCTAAGCAACGAATGTGCTTGAACCACCACACTTCTGAGAAAATGATGCATTTTTGTAGCACCTTACTTACAAGATTTGTATAGCGCCATTCCTGTTGGGAGGACGTCTCAAGGCGCTGGACAGTCAAGGATTTGCCTTCAAGATGGGGGTTGGCATTAGGTGAGGTGGAGGTCAGGGAGGGTAGGGTTCGGAGGGTGACCGAAGGCGCGATTGAAGAGGAGGTTCTTGAGACAGGCCTTGAAGGAGGTAAGGCGAGGCCATATCGAAACACATAGGGTAACAGATCAGAACTTTGCAGGAAACGTGTTGGGATCGTGGAAGTGAGCACAGCCACATTCAAAGAGACAGGATTTGAAAGCGCTTCTTTTTTTTAAATTATATTTTATTACAATTTTTTTAATAAAGCACGACATAGTTGAGTACAGTGACCGACCGGTTAGGTAAGAACCAAGTTCCAAAACCTGCTATGAGGTGAATGACCAATTAATGACAGATTGCTGGCCTTGTTGCACTGGACTGTCAGCCAAGACTACGAGCTTGAAGTCCCGATGTGGGGGTTGAACCCACAATCTTGGAGATGAAAGTGCTCATGACTGAAGCAGGCTGATATCTAATTCTATGAAAATGAATTCAAACAATGGCTATAAGCAATATCTCAGATGGTAAAGTACAATGAACAGCAACAGAAGAACAATGTGCATGTTCTGATGCAAGAATATGCAGTTAAGAAGAATAAATACAAGAGAAAGTACCAAGTTTGATGTTATAACCACACAACGTGTACTTTTCTTTAAGTAAAAGTAAAGCTTTAATTTTTTTTAGATTTATCAACAGTGAACAATGACATTTAGACCAATGATCAGTTCAAAAAACTCTGTAGGCTTTTACAGAGCTCAACTGTAATAAATTTATAATATTTAATAATAATCCTTGCCTTTGGCATAGCACCTTATCACGCCTTCGAAACGTCTCAAAAGCGCTTCACAGAATACACTGTAAAAGGAATTGACTGTATATTTGTGGGCGTAACGTGGCAGCCAATTGTGCACAGCAGCGTCCCACAAACAGTCATGGATTGCGCGACCAAATTATTATTTTTTTTNGAAGGGATTATTACTCCCAGAAAAGCGATCCACCAATCGACCAACAACTTGGTTCCTACTTACTGCTAGGTAAACAGAGGCGCGCGGAGTAAGGAAACTTGTCTAAGGTTTCGCCCTGTCTGGGAAATCAAACCCAGGTCCTCTCGCTTGCAAGGGGAGCGTTCTAATGAGTAAGCTACAGGACTCCACATTGCTTTTATACTAAATAAAGACAATAAGACAATTCTCCGCCCACCCCCCCCCCCCGCCACCCAATCTAATAAGGATTATTTTTATTTTATTCCTTGAAGACAAAAAATTAAACCGGTACATACAGAAGTTACGAAAATAAAAAGTGATTTAAAACCCTGACACAGTAGAGTTGCTGCTTTAAAAATCAGCCGACACCAACATGATGCTTTGAACCGTCAATGTTAAGATTCCTGCTCTTAACGCCGCCCTCCTAAGCCAGTTTAGAAATGTCTTCGTACTGTACACTGTCAACTTTGCGCCCTTGCAGAGGGCCCTGTGAAGAAGCAATTGTGATCAGCACTCTAATGTACAAACTGCATTACCTTCCAAACCGGATCAGGAACGCTTAGCCCAGAATTGACTTGTGCTCAGAACAAATGAAAGCACTCCCGATTTGGAAGCAGCCTTTATACATGTTACAAATAAGATGTCTATAGGAATATAATAATAGTCCTTGCATTTGATATAGAGCCTTATCATGTTATTGCGACGTCTCAAAGCTCTTCAAAGAATATACTGTAAAGCAAATCAACTGTATATTTTATGGGCGAAACACAGCAGCCAATTGCACACAGCAGTGCCCCACACTCAACAATCTGTTGACTGTTTGGGATCAAGAAATAATAATAATAATCCTTGCATTTGATATAGTGCCTTTCACATCTTCGAGACGTCTCAAAGCGCTTCACAGAATATACTGTAAAGTGAATTGACTGTATATTTGTGGACGAAACACGGCAATGTACCACAAACAGTCGTGGATTAAAGTGACCAATTTATTATTATTTTTTCTTGAGGGATTATTATTAGGCGTGTGGAGTAAGGAAATTTGCCCAAGGTTTCACCCTGCTGGGAATCAAACCCAGGTTTCTCGCTTGAGAGGCGAGTGCTCTAACCACTGAGCTACAGGACTCCGCAAATATTCTAAGGAATTCTAAAATAGGCACAAAAAAGAGATCTTTTCTCTATCCCAAAAGTCGATGGACGCACCTCTGATAATTCAGCACTCACTAGACATTATCTATAGATATATAAATATCTATAGAGAATGCTTCCACCCCTCTATAGAGAAAGGGTGGGGTACAGTCTATGATAAGGTTGGATTTGAGAAGGGGAATGTTTGATGGGCTGAAAGTTGATGCGCTATGATTAATTATATTTTGAAAAAAAGGAATTTTCAGCATTTCAAACGAGTTTCTTCAGAACAGTTACTAAATGCATGTACTTACAGAGTCTATAATGATTGTAGCACAATATTTCTTTTCATCTATACAGTCCAGGATGGCTTCATGTCCTCGGTAACCACCATTCACCACCAAAACTTTCTTACCTAAAACACAGCAACCAATCTTTCGATCAGCCAATATTATTAGCTGATAAGCAGGGAGTGCATTTTCTTTTCACATCGAACATCTTTATAGTAATTACTGTCACATGTCGTGTCCGTCTCTGTAGGTAAACTCAGCAACCATTTTGCATACAGCAAAGTCCCACAAACAGTTTTAGTGGCTGAAAGTGCGGCTACCGATGTCATGTCCCAGTCTGGGACTTAAACCTGGAGCTACCAGCTCGCTCAAGCTGACATTACTATTAGCAATGTTAACATGAACAATGACATCTCTTCCCCCCCATTACCTGGGACTGGTATGACCGTCTCCAGGTGAGTCTGGTCAACCTTCAATTTGTCTCCGGAATCAATCATTTTGATAACGGCCGTGTACTTCTCCTGAACTTCCTGTGACGTGAACAGGAAGTCGATGAATTAGAACAATTCTGCAGACAGGTTATAGTTATACATCACTGTAAACTGAGATCAGTGCCAAAGCAGTTTGCTAACTTTTCTTAATAACGTCTGCAACAAGCAAAGTGTTACCTTTATTAATGCTTTTTTCTTGTAATATTTTTCACCAAGTTTTTTGGTTATTAATTTGACGACTATTCCCTAGGAGAGAAGCAATTGAGTTAATCCACTGCAGTAATTATAACAATAATACTTATATTTGATATAGCGCCTTATCACATCGTCGAGATGTCTCAAAGTGCTTCACAGGATATACTGTAAAGTGAATTGACTGTATATTTCGTGGGCAAAATGCAACAAACCAATTGAGCACAGCAGTGTCCCACAAACAGTCGTGGATTGAGAGACCAAATTATTATTATTTTTTTGAGGGATTATTACCCCGAGAAAGCGAGCCATTCAACTAATCGGGTTCCTACTTACTGCTAGATAAACAGAGGCATATGGAGTAAAGAAACTTGCCTAAGGTTTCGCCCCGCCCATGGAAACGAACCCGGGTCCTCTTGCTTGCGAGGCAAGTGCTCCAACCAATACGATACAGGACTCCACAATATGGCTATACAAAGGAACAAATTTTCACAACTTACTGTGTGGAGCCAGTAATCTCTCCGTAAACTTCTCTTTTTCTGCTCTTCAAACTAAAAACAAAGCAAAATATTTAAATTGTAAGTGGTTTAAGGTAAGTTAATTTCTCCCTGAATTCAATGAATTAAGATGGGCACAGCACGAAGGGTATTGAGTATCTCATCCAAGTAATCACTCTTACATAGAGCTACAGTAGCGTAGAAACAGGACACTGGCTTCACATAACATACTGTAAAGTGAATTGACTCTTAATTATGAATTGATTGACCAAATTATTTATCTATTTACACAGATTACAAATTACACAAAGTTAGCAAAGTGCAAGGTAGTAATCAACAGAGTCAGGCAACATGGTAAACCACGGAACACAAACAAAAGATAGTTATACCATATTTAGCAATCTGGTAGAACTAGAATTTTAGCAAGGGTTTGGAATGAGTGGAATTCAACTCGATTTGGGGAAGGATCTTAACTCAAAGATTTGGAATCACAAGACCAGCGATTGGGAGAGAAGAGGTGAAAGGCACTGACTACTCTACCTACCTCCATAATCTCGTCCAAGGCAGATTTCTTCTTTTTATCTTTGGTGTCTGACGTGTGGCTTGGCTCCTTTCGCTTCACGGAAGCTGCTGCCTGTAACGCACTGGGTCGCAGGGTCCTGAAAAACATACAAGGCATGGATAACGTGCCCTTAGTCAAGTCGCTTCTATCAATTTCCTCATGAGGTGGCGCACTTTCAACTGAGAACTAGCGGATAGACTGCAGACACCCAACATGATCACAGCATGTCAGGCGGGAGTTAAGCCAGTGTGACAAGAGGGAGAGATGGTCAACTTGTTCTCTGTGCGGCGGGCTGCGGCAATCTAGCTAAAGCAGCACTGTGAGGCCTTCAAGAGCGGAGGGCAGAACAATCCCTATAAAAATAGACACTTACACTTTACATAAGTCCTTGCAAAACGATAAGCTGTAAAAAGCTGAAAGCTGGAAGCACGCTAAAAGGCTGTTAAAGTGACCTACAACTCTTTGTAAGCTTGTTATTTGACAAAAGTATATTAATGGGAGCGTTAGTCTTTAAGGGATTTATTGTGAAATTTATTGGATTTGTCACGCAAGTAAGAGAACAGTAAGATGGATTTCCTACCCGGGTTTAGGAGCAGTCGTTGCTGCTGATGTACTTGGTCCTTTGTTTAAATTGAAAGTAACTGAACAGAGAGAAAGAAATTATAGATTTAATTCAAACTTCTATTGTTTCAAAATGGTATCAAACATTCACTTATAGAGGAGTTTCAAGTAGGATAACGTCTTGAAACAGGTATTTTGTGGACAGTTAGTTCACTTAGCAGGTTACATATAAGGCATGTATTAACGAGTACCTTTTTCTTCCTCGTTTTCTCGCTTCAATTCTGTAAAAACAGGAGCTTCCTGAAAGAAAATACAGAAACAACTTTAATACCTAAAATGTCGTAAATCTGGGAATTTGTACATCTGGACAAACATTGTGAACACAACTCAGCAGGTCCGGCAGCACCTATGGCGACAGCAAAGTAGGTTAACATTTCAGGTCGATGACCTTTTGAAAGATTGAAGAGAAAAGGTCAGCAACATGAAATGTTAACTCACTGAGATGCCGCCTGACCCGCTGAGAGTGCCAGTGGCTTCTGTTATTTCAGATTTCCAGGATCTGCAGTACTTTGCCTTTTGTGAACATACCTCCTCTTTTCCCTCCTTTCCTCTCCTAACCAGTTCTTCGATGAACTTGGCGTTTCTTTCCTGATCATCCAACTCTTGCTTTTTCTTCTTCTCCAGCTCCTGCTGTCTGCAAATGGTCTCGGGATCTCGGTCAATGTACTGAATGTACCAGCCCTTTGGAGTTTCATCCACCTTGCAGTGACCTGGAACAAAGAGAAATGCTTGTGAAAGCTGAAATAAAATCATGAATCAGTTCAAAGAGAAACAAAAATATTTTCTTCACAAAACATTTTAACAGATGACGCTGTCACTCAGTACGTAAAACAACACAACAATAATAGTAATTTGGTCACTCAACCTGTTAGTTTGTGGGGACGCTGCTGTGCGCAATTGGCTGCCACGTTTCGCCCACAAAATACACAGCCAATTCACTTCACAGTATATTCCGTGAAGCGCTTTGAGATGTCTCAACTTTTTTGTTTCCTGCACAATACTCACAAACAATAATGTTAAATAATAATCCTGGCATTTGACGTAGTCCCTTTCGTGTTAACATCTCAAAGTGCTTCACGGGATTCACTGCAAAGTGTAGTGACTGCAGTTATAGGCAAAAGCAGCAACCAATTTGAGCACAGCAATGTCCCCCGCACACAGTTATAATGTCAATTACAATTTTTTTTATTAGGGAGATTGTTGACCGGTACACTAGGAGAACCTCTCCTCTCCATTCAAACACTTTTGTGTGTGAAACGTGGCAATGGGTAGAAGTAACCAAATCACTTACCTTCTCTGCCTAACCATTTGGTGAAGTCAGTCAGTGTCTCCCACATTGTTGAGTTCATATGAACATGCTCTCGGTGACTGATATATTCATTGTAGATCACATTGTTGTGTACTCGCTTGGTTCCTGAAAGAAAAATCAACTGATTTATTCTCAAAATAAATGAATATGATTAAATGGTCAAAATTCACCGAAAATCAGATGATGAAACAGTAGAGGATTTTCTATAATCCTAGCCTTTAACAAACACTCAGCAGAGATCAGAGCAGGAGCAAATAACCAGGCTACATGTTGTTAACTAACAATGATACAATATTGAGCAATTTCTCTGAAAGGGCTGATGCCGTAGTTTAGATGCTTTAACAACATAGTATTAATATACTCATAATAAACAGAGTGCAAAGGTTATGGAACGAACATCGTGAACATGATGCAACAGTAGGCATTGACCACTGGTTGCACTTTAATGTTACTGTCCTTAAATAGGAGCTCTGCAACAAGCTCAGGTATATATTAAGGAAAATAACTCACCAAAACGTCTTCGAAGAAGCTCAAGAAATTCAGTGCGAAACTCCCTGGGGAGAAGAGAAACTGCATTACTGCTGAACATCTTGTGCATTCATGTCTGTAAAGAGACTACAGTTCTGGATCTCAATGTCCTTTTTTTGGATCTTTATGAAGGCATTAATTCTTGATGGGGTGCAGTTTCATAGTCACTCAAAGCATGCTATCTTATCTAAAGAGCTAGCTAAAACAGTTTCTCCTAGTGTCCTGGTCAATAATTTTATCCCCAAGATAAAATTGGTTATTCACGCTTCATCACTGTTTGTAAGACATTGCTGTGCATAAATTAGCTGCCATGGTCACCTACAAAATAGTCACCTACACTTTGTGTAGCGCTTTGAAACATAGGTGCTATATCAAATACGAGGATGACTTTTAATAAGAAGTGTGCTAGCTTTAACATGTAAAGTAGCATCAAATAATTCTTGTGGAGTCCTGTAGCTCAGTGGTTAGAGCACTTGCTTTTCAAGCAAGACACCTGGGTTCAATTCCAGGCAGGGCGAAACCTTGGGTAAGTTTCCTTACTCCACACGCCTAATAATAATCCCTCCAAAAAACCCAAAACAATAATAAATTGGTCATTTTCAATCTACGACTGTTTGTGGGACATTGCTGTGCGCAATTGGCTGCCGCATCGCCCACAAATATACAGTCAATTCACTTTACAGTATATTCTGTGAAGCGCTTTGGGACGTCCTCCCGACGTGAAAAGCGCTATATCAAATGCAAGGATTATTATTATTATTATTGTTTTGCAATAAATTGCCTTGTTTTTCTAGACTTCAAGTATTTGCTCACTTTATTCAAACTTTTAAATATGCAGTAAACCTCACATAATTTGTACCATACACATTTAATATTTAATATAATTTATGTAAAGTATGAGTTAAGGATAATAATAACCTCAAACCTGCATAGAATATAATCTCTTGAACAGGACTTGGGCAGACATACAACTTAGGCGATTATACGATTTATACAGATCAGACTTACTTGCGTTTCATTGTATCTATAATTTATCTTTTGTACACTTTTTTTTAATTTACACTCATCTTATATTAACTGAATAATACATTTCCAATGATGAGATACAAGAATTAACCCACATTTCCTAAAATAATACATACTCTGAGAAGTAGTCCATGAACTGCTGAGGGTTCTCGGATGCCAACAGAAGCTGGCGTTGGTGGGATTCGGACATGCAGTGACATTTGAAACCATTCTGGAATATTAAAAAAATCTAACGTCAAAACAGCACTCTTCATGAACACAAGTCACATGAACACATACTGCATACTATAACACGTAACATGAACACAAATGCATCAAGTCTTGTGAATTAAAAACACAACACACTTCTAAATACACTGTAAAGTGTGAACTGTATACAGGATATACTATAAAGTGGATTGCCTGTATTCTTTTTCGGAATAATTACTCCGGAGAAGTGATCCGCCAATTGAGTAACAACCGGGTTCCTACTTATTGCTAACAGAGGTGTGTGGAGTAAGGAAAGTTGCCTAAGGTTTTGCCTCGGCTGGGAATCAAACCCGGATTCTCTCGTTTGCGAGGCGAGCGCTCCAACCACTACGCAACAGGACTCCATCCACCTTGAAAGTGCGCGTGACTCACCTTCCCAAAAACACAGTCGATAATAATAATACTACTAATAATAATCCTCGCATACGGTACAGCGCCTTATCACGTCTTCGAGACGTCTCAAAGCGCTTCACAGGAACGTACCTCAAGGCTCAGTGACTTGTGTCACTGTTTCGCTGGCAGCCAATTGCCCACACGCGTAAGCGTACAGTAAAGGATATGCTATCAAGGGGAGCGACTGTGTATTTTGTGGGTGTGGGGGGGGGGGGGGGGGAGAAGAGAAACACAGCACAATAACGCCTTGCGGTTGTGTATATTTTTTGGAGGGGGGGAAACTAACAAGTGGAGTAACTGTATATATTTACCGTTTGTGTGTATGTGAGGGTGTGTATGTGTGTGGGGGTGTGTGGGGGGCGCGTGTGTGTGTGTGTGGGGGTGTGTGTGTGTGTGGGGTGTGTGTGTGGGGGTATGTGTTTGTGTGTATGAGCGGGGTGTGTGTGGGTGTGTGTGTGTGGGGTGTGTGTATGTGGGGGGCGGGGTGTGTGTGTGTGGGTGTGTGTGAGGGGGGGTGTGTGTGTGTGGGGGTTTGTGCGTGTGGGGGTGTGTGTGTGTGGGTGTGTGTGTGGGGGGTGTGTGTGGGGGTGTGTGCGTGTGGGGGTTTGTGTGTGTGGGGGGTGTGTGTGTGTGTATGAGCGGGGTGTGTGTGGGTGTGTGTGTGGGGTGTGTGTATGTGGGGGGCGGTGTGTGTGTGTGTGTGGGTGTGTGTGTGGGGGGGGGGAGGTGGAGGTAAACACAGCACCAACGTTGACATGTTGTTGTTGTTGTTGTTGGAGGCTGTGTGTGTGTGTGTGTGTGTGTGTGTGAGGAAGGCCCAGGCCCCCGCCCGGCCCGGCTCGGCCTCTCACCTCGTCCCGGCATTGCTTCTGGCACATCTGGCAATACCACCTGAGCTTCTGCAGCCCCTTGGACTTGATGCGGTTGGCGATGGCCTTGGGGGTGAGGAACTCGGCTTTGCCCATAGCTTCGGCCCCCAACCGCCTCCCGGCCCACGGCAACGGCAAGTGCGCGAGCGCCGGCCTCCCCCTCCCACCACAACGTCACAGCCGCTGACGCGTCCGCCACCCGAACGGCACGGTGGGGGTTGTAGTTCGGCGCCCGGCCCTGGTCGCGAAACGGGCGGCGCTTCGGCAAGAAAACTACACTCCCCAGAGAGCTCTGCGCCCGCGGCGTAGCGTCGTCGTCGTCGTCGTCGTCATCGTCGTCGTCGCGCTGGTCGGGGGCGGTTGGTGGGGGTGGAGGGGGCGGGCGGGCGGTGACGCGTCACCGCGCGCGAGGGGCATGGCGGGAGTTGTAGTCTGACTGACGCCGCGCGGATCAAGGCGCGCGGGGTGGGGGTCCGATGAACCACGTTTCCCGGCGGCCGTCACGCTCGCTCCGGCTGGCGCGCGCGCGCCGGTCACGTGGCGGGAAGGTTTCGGCGCAGGCGCAGTGGCGGCGGTCTGACCTTCAGCAGCAGCGGCGGCGGCGGCGGCGGGAGGTGTCACCATGTTGGCGAGAACGAGCGTCCTGATCTTCCAGCCCCAATGGTAACGGGGGAGAGTCGGCGGGTGGGTGGGGGGGAAAGAGGCCCTTCTTTCCGCTTGAAGGGAAGGGGGTTTAAGGCGTGACTGAGGCGCCGGAGCCCGAGCGGAGGTGACCCCGGGGCCTGTCAGTCAGGCTGCAGCCGCTCCTCAGGCCCTGAGGGGGGGGACATGAATCATAATAATAATAATAATAATAATAATAATATTCCTGGCGTTTGACACAGCGCCTGATCACGTCTTCGAGACGCCTCAAAGCGCTTCACGGGATACGCCGTCAAGGGGAGTGACTGTGTGGATATATATGTGTGTGTGTAATAATAATTTGTGTGTGTGTATAGATATATATTTACACACACACACACACATATAATGCTCGTTGTGCCCACGGAGCACCCAGTCGCTGCGCTTCCACGGTCGTCTCCTGCGAGGCGTCCCGAAGGCGCCGTAGGGGCGCGGGCGGCGTCGAGCGCGAACGGGACCCGCCGGCGTTACTCGTTTCTCGCTCCGGTCATTACGACACCCAACGAGAGAGCCCGCGGTGACCGTCGGCCAAACTTTGGTCTCCTTCCCGACGACGGTGACCGGAATGCTTTGCATTTGATCCAGCGCCTTATCGGGGCTTTTGAGACGTCTCGGAGCGCGCTTCGTAGGATAATAATAATAATAATAATAATCCTTGCATTTGATATAGCGCTTTTCACGTCGGGAGGACGTCCCAAAGCGCTTCACAGAACACACTGTAAAGTGAATTGACTGTATATTTGTGGGCGAACGCGGCAGCCAATTGCGCACAGCAATGTCCCACAAACAGTCGCGGGTTGAAAATGACCAATTTATTATTGTTTTGGTTTTGGAGGGATTATTATTAGGCTCTGTGTGGAGTAAGGAAACTTGCCCGAGGTTTCGCCCTCTGCCTGGAATTGAACTCAGGTCTCTCGCTTCCAAAGCGAGTGCTCTAACCACTGAGCTACAGGACTCCACAGGATATATACAGGATATACGGTAAAGTGACCGTGTGTCTCGCGTGGGAAACGGGGCAGCCAATTGCGCACAGCAGCGTCCCACAAACAGTCGGGGATCGTGAACGGTGGTACTCTACAGTATGTTCTGTGAAGCACTTTGAGATGTCTCAATGACCCGGAAAGGCGCCATATCAAACCCAAGGATTCGTATTACTGATTCTGTGGTGTAATTCTTCATGTAATAGTCGAAATGATTCTTTTGATGCATTATTTCGCCTCTTTTTCTCTCATCTTCCTACTCCCAATCCACACTCGGTACTTTGCTGAGATTCATTCAGTTTTAATTCTATTACAGGGTCCAAGTCCGAAACATGGCAACTCTGAAAGACAGTAAGTATCCTGATTTTCACTACAGGCCCCTTGTGTTATAAATTGAAGTCTTTACTCCTGTTAATCTTTTTGAATAGGGTGCATACAGGATTTGTCATCTTGTCTTTCCAAGTTAATTGGCAAATTAGTTTTAATTTAGGTTGTATTATTATTATATTATAATTATCTCAGCTTCTCCATTCATTCTTTTCACCCTTGGCAGTGTTCTTCCTTGTAAGCTCAACATCCTATACCTTTTTTCTCAGAAGTTAGTTGTAAAGTCTGGTATCGTCTGGTGCAGTGACCAACAATCCTCCAGATAAAATTGGTCATTGATGCATGGCTGTTTTGGGGACTTGGCTGTGTGCAAATTGGCTGCCGCTTTCACCTACAAAATGCACATACTAACTACACTAAAATCATGTACCAAAACACTTGGTGATGTCTAGCTATATGATAAGGTGCTATATCAAATGCAATTATTGTTATTATCTTTCTTGCTCACCTAGCTGTACCCACAAAGTGCAAAATATTTAATGATATCCTTGAAGCAGCCTTATTATGAGGTTCAAATATTATGATGCACTTCACATTAGAGGTTGTCCAGTGGCTAAGTTTCAGCGCCTTGGGACGTCCTCCTGACGTGAAAGGCGCTTTATAAATGGAATCTTGTTGTTGTTGTTGTTGTAAGTCCACACTGTAGCACTCTTGCCTCTGAGTAAGAAGGTTGTGGGCTGAAGCCCCACACAGGATTTTGAACCAAATTGTATTTTGAAGATATTAAGCTGACACTCTGATGCAGTGTTCCTACAGCACTGCATTGTCTCAGGTGGTGCCCTTCAGATGAGACGGCCTGTCTGCCTGCTCAGGTGGACATCAAAGATCCCGCAGCACATTCGAAAAGAGAAAAAGGGTTCTCCAGTAAAAGACAGTGGTTTAATGAATTTTTGTCTATCTTAAGTTACCAGGCGTTTGAAGTCCATCAAAAACATTCACAAGATCACCCAATCCATGAAAATGGTGGCCGCTGCCAAGTATGCAAGGGCTGAGAGAGACCTGAAACCAGCAAGAGTTTATGGAACCGGAGCTCTAGGTATGGTAATCATCACAGAATGGATCAATTTCAGTATCCTCTCACTCGTCCACAACTCCCTTTATGCCCTGGCACCTCCCAACCTTTCTGACCTGCTTTCTCCACACTGCGCTACACGCTGCCTCCGCTCGGCTGGCTCTGGCTTCCTTCCTTGTTCCTCGTCTCCTCCACTGCACCATTAGCGGCTGCGCTTTCAGCCACTACGCCCAAAGCCTTACTCTCTTCCCCCCCCAAATCCCTCTACCTGGCACCCTCTTTCCCCTGGAGGTTGAAAGTCATTTTCCCAGTGTATTATTGCTGGATAAGTCATTAGAAAAGTATCTTTGCTGCTAATGCACACGTTCCGAATCATTACATTTTGCTTTTATTCCCACTTTCTTTAAGCTATGTATGAAAAAGCAGAAATTCAGTCCCCTGAAGACAAGCCCAAGCACTTGATCATCGGTGTATCCTCTGACCGTGGTCTTTGTGGGGGTATCCACGGTTCTATTGCCAGAAGAATGAGGAGTGAGCTCAAACAGTTGATAGATGCCGGCAAGGATGTCAAGATTGTTACTGTTGGTGATAAGTTGAGAAGTCTGCTGTACAGGTATGTATCCACTGTGAGTCTGCAGACATATTGGAGGGTCTTTTTAAAGTATTGTTGTTCACACTTTCAAAATTTGGAAGCAGAGCACATGAGATATTTTGGAGAGGGCGCAAGGTTGGGCTGTCATGTCCAGTTTAGAGTTGTGCCCCCACTCAATAATAATAATATTCCTTGCATTTGATATAACGCGTTACTGTAAAGTGAATTGACAGTGTATTTTGTGGGCCGAATCTGGCAGCCAATTGCGCACAGCAGCGTCCCACAAACAGTCATGGATTGAGTGACCAAATTATTATTTAATTTATTTTGAAGGGATTATTACCCCCAGAAAGTGATCCACCAATTGACTAACAACCAGGTTCCTACTTACTGCTGGATAAACAGAAGTGCGTGGAGTAAGGAAACTTGCCTAAGGTTTCGTCCTGATCGGGAACCAAACCCAGCTGCTCTCGATTGCAAGACGAGTTTCTGAGGCGGAGATGCAATTTAAAAAACAAAATACTTCTCCTTTAATAAAAGCAAGAAATGCTGGAAATGCACAGCGGATTATGCTCATCAGTTACACCCATCCAGATGGGCAGGTTAAATCTCATGTGTTTCTGAATCATTTGCCTTTCTGATGGTGGAATCTTTCGTTTAGATTGTAAAACAGGTAAACGTCTGATATTGTAAGCCGCCATGACAATGAAGATTTTTTTTCTTGATTTGATAGGTACTTTGGAAGCTGGAGCTCTAATTTAGTTTTTGTTACACTAACGTTTATTAATGAACCCTTAGATTTGGGCAAAACTTAACTACAAATTAATAACAACAACCTGCATTTATATAGCAGCCTTCACGCTGGGTAATGTCCCAGAGCTTTTGACAGTGGCGGAGCACGACCCCGACCTTGTGGGGTGGGGGAAACTTAGGCATAGTCGAAGAGAAGGGTCTTCGTGCATAACCTGAATATGGGGAAGGAGGGGGCAAAGTGGAGGGACAGAGGGAGAGTGCTGCAGAGTTTCATGGCGTAGTGGCTGAAAGCATGGCCACTGATGGTGGAATGGAGGGCACGAGGGACAAGCAAGAGGCCGGAACCAGGCACGTAGAGGCAAGGGGATAGCTTGACTATTTTGCTTTGGCTTTGCAGGAACTTTGAGGCTCGCTTCCTGGTACTGTTCAAGGAAATTGGACGCAAACCACCAACCTTTGGGGATGCTTCAATCATTGCCAACGAACTTCTAAGCGCTGGCTTTGAGTTTGATAAAGCTTCTATCCTGTTTAACAAATTTGGGTAAGCATTTTGCGGTGCGCTGCCCCCTCTAAGGGCTTTGTTTGCATTTCATCCTCACCTTTTTGTGGTGCTTTCAAGTAGGTGTACAACAAACGTGCCGAACAGTGATAGATTAGACTTGAAGTGCAGTCCCTGCAACGTTTTAGTTCCTATCGTTAAAAGTCGGCTGAAGCCAATCCTGTTTCTGTCTTTAGATCTGTGATCTCCTACAAGACTGAGGAGAAACCAATCTTCTCCTTTGAGACTGTTGCAAATTCTGGTAAGTTGCTGCGTTCCTGTCAGCGGGCTGAGCAAGGCAGTCAGTCCAGCAGATAAGTCAGATAAGGTGTAGAGGATCATTCTTCAAATACCGAGGACTACTGCAGTCACCTCTTGCAGCAACAATAACAAATTACATTTACACAGCACCTTTCACATTAGGAGTACATCCCAAGACGCTGGACAGTCAGGGATTTAGATCCAAGCTGGGGGTTGGATCAGGAGGGGTGGAGGCAGGGAGGGTAGGGCTAGGTGGTTGGCCGAAGACACCGTTGAAGAGGAGGGTTCTGTGCGACTCTACTGTTTTTGATGCTCCAGTTGTTAATAACTTGTGATTTATTTCTCCTCCCTAGAAAACATTGGGATTTATGATGACATTGATGCTGATGTTTTAAGGAACTACCAAGAGTTTGCATTGGTGAACACCATATACTACACCTTAAAAGAGTCAACTACCAGTGAGCAGAGTGCTAGGATGACAGCTATGGACAGCGCCAGCAAAAATGCTTGTAAGAATTCTTTTGGTTCAATTTTGAGATGCATTTTCTTAGGAACACTGATGTGCACTTGAAAAGGAAAGCCGGTAGGCTTCTTGTCCCTGAGCCTCACAACTCCACCCAGTCTTAGCCTCTGGAGCATTTTGTCTTAAAATTTAAGAAGACAAAAGAATTAGTTACGGTCTGGAATGCACTGGCTGAAAGGGCGGTGGAAGCAGAGTCGATAATAACTTTCAAAAGGGAATTGGATAGGTACTTGAAAAGGAAACCATTGCAGGGCTGTGGGGAAAGAGGGTTGGAGGGCAGGGAGGGTGACTGAAAGTGCTGTCGAAGAGGAAGCAGGCTGTATTGTTGCTGTAGATTCTATTCTGTTTTGAACGCCTTTTTTTCCCCCTCCTCTGCACAAGTGCCTAATATAGACTTTTAACTATGCTGTTGTGTAAATCCAAACACCTGATTTTCAGGCTTCATTAGAGAAAACTGAAATGCCATATCTTACTGGCCTTGTTGTTTTTCCGTAGCTGAAATTATTGACAAGCTGACGTTGTCATTCAACCGCACCCGGCAAGCCGTCATTACTAAGGAGCTTATTGAGATCATCTCTGGTGCTGCTGCTCTGTAAGTACCGCTAGTGGATTGTGATGTCTGTACAGCTGTGAAAGATTCTTGGAAGAAGTAACAGCTAAACTAGCCTGGAGCTCATAAAAAATTGGCATAAGTCAACAAGTTTGAGTGGGGGGTGGGGGGGAAGACTGAGAAACCATTGGGAGTTTATTTAATTTTTTTTCGAAGGTAAACCGTAATTTTACTCATACTTTTGCTGTTATACCTTTGACATTATTTAAAATAGTCGCACTCAACAACTTGTACGGTTTGCAAATTTCGAGTTACAACCTTCAGGAACATGAGATAAAGGTTTTTGGCCATTGCCCTATTGTAACTTGGAATTGAAAAGTAATCTTAAAAATCTCAAGAAAACCATAGCCCTCTTCATTACTTTTGTTCGAATTGTTCAGGTGATGGCTGAAGGAGGCAATCCATCTAGTCAATATAGTACTTTTGTATTGTTCAGCTTAACGCCAACACTCCCACTCCAGCTCAAGCATCCATGCTATTGTTAAGTGCTCCGAGACACTACCCCTGTATGAAGGGTGCTGTGCAAATGCAAGGTATTACTGTAATGTAAGGAAATTTCTGTGACTTTGACGAGATGATCCAGCAGGTGAGTGTTCTCAGCGTTGAGCCTGTATTCTGGGCAAAGTACTGAACTATGATCTTTGTCAATTTGAAAACTTCAAAGCTCTATTGATATGGTCCAGGGTGGATGGGTACTTTAGAAACGTGGTTCAAGGTGCATTGACTGTATTAAATTGCTCTAATTTAATATTAGTTGTATATATTATGTAATATTTCGCCCACAAAATACAGTCAATTTACTTTGAGATATAGTCTGTGAAATGCTTTGAGACGTCTCGACGACATGATGAGGCACAATATCAATGCAAATATTATTATATAGAATTTCAATATGCTTTGCTTTGGAGCGTGATGATAATGGTGCAGGGAAGGAAGAGGACACCGCACAGACAGACCATGTGAACTTTGAGATTATTTTTACCTTATGTTCACTCCCATGTCCCCTTTTTGTAATGTCATTGAAAACGATCTGGATCGAAAATGTATTACCTCTTATTCAGTGTAATTTTTCTCTTAAGACTTCATGGAGCTAGCGAGTAGTGGAACCCATATTGTTTAACCTAGCTTGTAAAAAGTGCATCCGCTGATTGCATTCCGCAGCATTTGTGTGACTACATCCAAGGCCTGAAATCTCTCACGTCTGTCTTCACTTTAATTCGTTATTTTAAAATGTATGATTGTTTGGAATTTAAGAAATCTTAAATTTGCATTCCAAATTTGTCTTCCAAATTAAAACTCAGCTCAAAACGATGAGGAATTTCAGGATTTTGATTTTCTGTTGTGCTTTTTTGACTTGTTGCTTTAAATCAGGTCTAAACTTTTTCCCTGCTGACGGCTAGATGTCCTATTTGAGAAATGCCCCTTCCAGAAACATAACATTTACGGGTTTAAACTATTCTCTTGTGGCTGAATTGCACGTCTAGCTTTGCGCTTGTGCTTTTTGTTGTTGTTGTTTTGCTTGAGGCTTTCTCACTGTGTGGATTTACTTTGGCCATTTGGTGGCATGACTGATTTTGCATGTCCAGCTTCATAAATGATCGTTTCCATTCTTTCTCCTGCACCATAACAAGGGAATGAGCTTGCTGCGTCATTTGTTGGTCCCAATAAAGAGGTAACGCTTCGCCCTGATGCTTGTATGGTAGCACAGATACAAAGACAAAATGTGACGTTTTCTACGTACTGAATGTACGCTGCAGTCAACAAGTAGCAACCACATCCAATGCATTACCATTTTAGATTTTAGATGTGAAGGAACGAAAAAGACTTGGAAGGCCATCAAGTCCTAGGAGATACCCCTCACTCCACCTTCCTCACACATATGCATCTTTTCTAGTTCCTGGGGGATGCAACTGCCCCACCCCCCCCCCCCCAAGAAACCCAAAGGTCAATTCGGATGTAGGGCGAAGAGATTTTGCCTGGAAAATTCCTCTCTCGACTCCGAAGGGTAGTCAAGTGAGCTTCTGGAGGCTGAGCCATCACCATACGAGAGCTTTGCTTAATATCTCTTTATAATATCCATTTTTCAAGACTGAGGTGGATATATTTTTGTTAGGGAAGGGCTTCAAGGGATATGGAGCAAAGGCGAGTAAATGGAGTTGAGGTCCAGATCAGCCATGATCTAATAGAATGGCGGAACAGGTTCAAGTGGCTGAATGGCCTGTTGCTGTTCCTGTTTACTCTGCTACACTGCAGTTAACCTCACAAGTTCTCTTGAGGCTCAAAACCCATTTGATTCATGTCATTGAAGGAAGGAGTTGAAAATACATTGTCCATTGCAACTTTAGTTGGATTTGAACTCTGAGCCAGTACAACTGTTGAGTTACAACTTTCTAACACTGATAGCCAAATGAATGGAGCAATGTTTTTCATTAAAAGTACTAGTGGCTCATTTGTTTTTAGAAATTTCACATACATTTACTGTTTTCAAATAATACTTGCGGCTTAAACGTTATAGTCCAAATGAAAAACTAATTCAGATTCTCCATTCCTGAGTGTGTCTCAGTTTGATGTGATTTTTAAAATGTGTCTTCTCCACCTGCTGACTTTCTGTATTGATTCTGCAGGTAAGAAGATAATGCAGAAGGAAACTAGTTCATTGGAAATGATCCAAAACCTCTTGCTGTTGGAAGAAAAATCATACTCGGACATTTTGTGCAAATCTTCCACCGTTTGTAAATTATACTACAATAAAAATCCTACAAGTTAATCACCTGTTGCAGTTTTATTCGTGTTTAAGAGAGTTCTAATTGATATGTTTCGAAATGTTGGACTGTTCGTAAGATTTGATTACGCTTCACAATCACTGATTTTTTTTTTGTTTGTTTGATCACCTTCGACTCCAGGACCACTGTTGTCCTGACAGTAGCGTTCACCATCCAGGGATGCACATTCCACCTCACTGAGCCAGTCCGGAACTTTGGCGTCTTGCTTGACCCTCAATTATCCTTTCTACCCCTCATCCATCCATGACTTGTTCTGCCTTCCTCTACCTCCGCAACATTGCCCGGCTTCACCACTGTCTCTCCCCTCAGCCGTCGAGATCCTCATCCATGAATTTGTTACATGCAGTCGGCTGCGACTCCCTGCTTGTCGGCTTTCCCAACTCTTCCTTCCACAAGCTGCAGGTCACTCCGAACAGGCTTGCTCCCTCCCTTGCCTCTTTCAAAGTACTTTTCGAGACCCTTCTCTTCGACCATGTTTCGGTCACCCTATTATCTCTACCCTCCCTGCTCTACACTTCTGATCCCAACCCCCTACTCGGGTCCCAATACCTGATTGTCCAGCCCTTGAGACTCCCTCCAGATGTGGAAGGTGCTACACAAATATAACTTGTCACATGTGGAAACAATCTCCATGCGTAAGAATATCCAAACCAAACGGAGTTCCATACAAGCCATTTATGGATGGAAATTCCATTATATGGAATATACAATACCTGCCTGGGGGGTTATACACTGAATGAGGAACCACCACAACTTGCGTTTATATAGCCCCTTCACACACGGTAGCATCGCGGAGTGCTTAACAGTGGTGGAGACTAACCGAACCAGGTTGAGGGAGGAGGTGACCATAAGCACGGTTGAATAAAAAGGTCTTCAGGCATGATCTGAAAATGGGGAAGGAGGGATTGAGGGAGAAAGTTCCAAAGTTTCGGGGTGTAGTGGCTGAAAGCCTGGCCGCCGATTGTGGAACAGGGAGGATGATTAACGAACTTGCATTTATATAGCGCCCCTCCACCTAGGGTAGCGTCTCAGAGCTACCCCCCACCCAGCCATCCAGCACCCAACCCCCCCACCCAGCCATCCAGCACCCCACCCCCCCACCCAGCCATCCAGCTCCCCACCCCCCCCACCCAGCCATCCAGCTCCCCACCCCCCCCCACCCAGCCATCCAGCTCCCCACCCCCCCCACCCAGCCATCCAGCACCCCACCCCCCCCACCCAGCCATCCAGCTGCCCACCCCCCCACCCAGCCATCCAGCTCCCCACCCCCCCACCCAGCCATCCAGCTCCCCACCCCCCCCACCCAGCCATCCAGCTCTCCACCCCCCCCACCCAGCCATCCAGCACCCCACCCCCCCCCACCCAGCCATCCAGCCTCCACCCCCCCCACCCAGCCATCCAGCACCCCACCCCCCCCACCCAGCACCCCACCCCCCACCCAGCCATCCAGTACTCCAACCCCCCCCACCCCAGCACCCCAACCCCCCCACCCAGCCATCCAGCAACCCAACCCCCCCCCACCCAGCAACCCACCCAGCCACAGCCAACCAGGAACCCCCCACCCCGCAAACACTCCCCCAGCCATCCAGCAAGGATTCTGGGCACTCTGCCACTTGGTCCTCCCAGTCCTCCAAGGCAGGCGTGATTCATCGACCCACGATCAATGGATGGATGGATGGATGGATGGGTGGGTGGATTGCTCGGCGCTCGCTCGATTTAGTCACGTCTGGCTCGGAGGACCGACCGACCCGACCCGACCGACCGCGGGAGGCGGGAGGAAAATGGCGGCTCTGGAGTGAGTGAGCGAGCGAGAGGGAGAGAGAGATAGAGAGAGAGTGAGAGGGTGGGGGGGGGAGAGAGAGCGAGAGAGAGAGAGAGAGTGAGGGGGGAGAGAGGGGAGTGAGGAAAGAGGAGCCATGTCCCGCCGAGGGCCGCGGCCGCGTCGCGGTGTCTTCTCGTTTTGAATTGGGTTCGAAAATTAACGGTCAACGGTTTCCAGGACCGGCGGACGGGGGACCCGAGAGGGAGAGGGAGAGAGCGGGAGAGAGAGGGGGAGAGAGGGAGACGAGGCCCCGCGCGGCCCGTGACAATGAGCGAGAGTTACGGGCGGGCGCTGCTGCGGGTGTCGGTGGCGCAGATCTGTCAGGCTCTGGGCTGGGACTCGGTGCAGGTGACGGCCTGCGACATCCTCACCGACGTGCTGGGCCGCTACGTGGAGCAGTTGTCCAGGGGCTGCCACCGCTACAGCGAGCTGTGTGAGTACATTACCCCCTCACACACACCCTCACACACTCACACACACACACCCTCACACACACACCCTCACTCACACACACACACACACACACCCTCACACACACACACACACACACCCTCACACACACACACACACCTCACACACACACACACCCTCACACACATACCCTCACACACATACCCTCACACACACACACCCTCACACACCACACACACACACCCTCACACACACACACACACCGCCTCACACACACCCCCACACACACACCCTCACACTCACCCCCCCCCCACACACACACACACACCCTCACACCCTCACACACACACCCTCACACACCCCCCCCACACACACACACCCTCACACACACACACCCTCACACACACACACACACCCTCACACACACACACACCCTCACACACACACCCTCACACACCCTCACACACACCCCCTCACACACACACACCCCCACACACACACACACCCTCACACCCTCACACACACACACCCTCACACACACACACCCCTCACACACACACCCCCACACACACACACACACCCTCACACACACACACACACCCTCACACACACACACACCCTCACACACACCCTCACACACACACCCTCACACACACACCCTCACACACACACCCTCACACACACACACCCTCACACACACCCTCACACACACACACCCTCACACACACACCCTCACAGACACCCTCACACACACCCTCACACACACACCCTCACACACAACCTCACACACACACCCTCACACACACACACATCCTCACACACACCCCCTCACACACACCCCCTCACACACACACCCTCACACACACACACACACCCTCACACACACACACCCTCACACACACACCCCCTCACACACACACCCCCTCACACACACACACCCTCACACCCTCACACACACACCCCCTCACACACACACACCCTCACACACACCCTCACACAGGCACACACATAGACAGGCACACACACAGATAGACACCATACCTGCCGTAACACAGCACGACTCACTGACTGACTGTTCACTCACTCACTCGCTCACTCATTTACTTACTCACATGCAGATTCACTCATTTACTTACTCACATGCACCATCACTCACTCACATGCACACTCACTCACTCACATGCCCATACACTCACATGCACATACACACCGACACACTCACACTCACTCATGAACATTCACACTCACTCGTTTGCACACACTCACTTATGCACATGCACATACTCCCTCACATGCACATTCACTCACATGGACATACACGCACTCACTCACATGCTCAGCCCGCATGCCACGCTGCCAACACAACTCACTCAGACCCTCCTTGTCGCTCAGACACGACTCACTCACTCTCATGCACACATACAAGCACACATTTACTCTCATACTCATATACAGACACACACTTACACACTTATGCACATACACACACTCACACACATTTTCACTCACTCACTCACGCACATACATACACACTCATGTATATACACACTACTCACTCTCATGCATGTAAACATACACTGACTCACTCTCAAGCACATCTATACAGTCACTCACTCTCATGCATATACACACAGTCGCTCATGCACATACACACATTCACATGCACACTCATAATCATACACATACTCACTCTTATACACACAGTCACTCACTCGTGTGCACACATGCTCACTTGCACATAGACTCATTCACACTCATGTACTAATGCTACACTCCCTCCCTCACAAACTCCAAACTCCATCCACACATAGCCATTTTTCCACATTCCCTCTATCCCTCGGAGTACCATCCCTTTCCTCCCTGTCCATGCTCTCTCCCTCCTCGCACACGTCCTCCATTCCACCCTCCCTCTTTGTGCACATTCCCTCCTTCCCTCTACATATCTCCCATCATCCACAATCCCTCCTCCCTCTTTCTCTCGGCATACCCCCTCCCTCGCTGGTTCTTTGCACAGTCCATCCATACCACCCACCCTCCCTCTCTCCTGGTACGTTGCACTAGTTGGGTGAATGGGCACTTTCTGTGCTGTTTCGCTCGCACCTTCCCAAACCTCCATTCACACTGTGACTGACCACGGTCTCCTGCAGGAAGGTTCAGCAACACTAATCCCTTGTTGCTACAGGCCTACACTAGTTCTTGCTGCAGTACAGTAAAACTCACAGAAGTCTTACCATTATAAATCGAATAAGTAGTACATTCACCCATGCATTGAATCGCGGGAAATGACATCCTGATCCGATGACATATGTGCACTTACTGGCCGCCTTGATTCGCACGAAACTCGGTCTTGATCCGTCAAAGCATGTGCAGAAGAGCTTCATTTCTTGTGATTCTTTAACTTGCCATTAAGTGTGCATGCGGCGATGGGTCAAGACGGCATTGAATCACGGGAAACGTAGTCTTGACACATCACCACACGCGCACTTACTGGCTGCATTGAATTACACATGCGCAGTGTGGAATATTGATTAAATCAGATTTTTTATGATTTATACAGTTTGCCTGCAACTCAGACTTTGCGTAAGTCATATAAAATGTTATGGTCCCGACTGATGTGACCAATGTGAGTTTTATATACAACATTGGCAACTTGCTTAGTCAGGTCCAGGATTTCTACATCCATAACATGGATATTCACGTTTGTGTCTCCTGAGATTCACGCTGTGACTCCTTCCACACTGATCCTGAACTCCTGTAGCCACGGGCTTCCACCCCATATGGAAGTCCTGTGGAGTCCTGTAGCTCAGTGGTTAGAGCACTCGCTTTGCAAGTGAGAGACCTGAGTTCAATTCCAGGCAGAGGGCGAAACCTTGGGCAAGTTTCCTTACTCCACACAGAGCCTAATAATAATCCCTCCAAAACCCAAAACACTAATAAATTGGTCATTTTCAATCTACGACTGTTTGTGGGACATTGCTGTGCGCAATTGGCTGCCGCGTTTGCCCACAAATATACAGTCAATTCACTTTACAGTGTGTTCTGTGAAGTCCTCCCGACGTGAAAAGCGCTATATCAAATGCAAAAATTATTATTATTATTATTATTATTATATATTGCTAATGGCAACCCCTGGCTGCTTGAGACCTACACAGCATATCTTACAATACTAACATTGATAACTAAATAACTACACCTATTAGTAGTGAAATCAGAAGACATTTCTTTACGTAGAGTTGCATGATTGTGTCACTTCATCAAGGGACTGTTGATGCAGAATTGGTGCAGAATAAATGCAAATGCAACAATTTGGATTTATATAGTGCCCTTCAAGCAGGGTAGCGTCTTAGAACACATAACAGTGGCGGAGCCCAACGCCGAGCTAAGGGGAGGGAGAAGCTGAGCGTAAGCATGGTGGAAGAAGAAGGTCTTCAGGTGTGATCTGGAAAATGGGAAGGAGCGGGCATTGCAGAAAGATTGAGGGAGAATTCACCCCGATTGGAAATGAATTGGGTGGTGCAAATTATGTACTGTGTTGTCTAATAACACATAGACTAAGCTGACACTCCAGCGCTGGGGTGTGTGGCAGGGTTGGAGGCGCTGTCCTTCGGATGAGATATTAAACAGGTCCTGTCTGACTGTTTAGGTGAACGTTAACGATCCCACAGTGCTATTCGAAAAGAGAAGGGAGTTTCATTCAATGTCCTGACCAAAATCTCCCAAATAAAATCTGTCATTCACTCTGAAGCTGTTTGTGGGACCTTGTGTGCACAATTGTGAACCGTTGCCTTCGTTCCACCGGATCTGGCCTCCTCCTCGTCCCCCGAGTCCTCCGCTCCACCCTCGGCGGCCGTACCTTCAGCCACTATGCCCCGAGGCTCTGGATCTCCCTTCCTCACTCCCTTCGCCTCGTTCCCTCCCTTCCCATTTTCAGGTCTCAGCTGAAGACCTTTCTTTTCGACCGCGCCTTTGGTCACCTTCCTCCCCCTCCCCCTGGCTCAGCCCCGGGCTCCGTTACTGTGAAGCGCTCTGAGACGCCATCCGGCGTGGAGGGCGCTATATAAATTAAGTTGTTGTTGTTGTGCTACTGCATTTGCCTACAAATACACAATCACTCCATTTCATAGTAATTCCTGTGAAGCACTCTGAGACGTCTTATAACTTTGGCCATTTAAATCATAGTTTCATAGGTGGTTGAGGGATGTTTCTGTGTGCAAGTTGGCTGCTACATTTGCCTACAAAATACAGTGACTTCACTTTACAGTGCAGTATATCCTGTGAAGCACTTTAAGACATGAAAGGCACTGTATCAAATGTAAGGATTCTTATTATCAATACATTTAGCCTCAGGAAACTTTCTTAATTGAACTTTTTTTATAACGTTGAGCTTAGTTACTACTTCAAACAATTATCCCCGAAGGCACGCTTTAGGAGTCATGATTTGAAACGCACAAATGGTGAAGTTAAACAGTTTAAATGGGTCTGATTTACAGAGGGGGGCATTGAAGCTGTCTATAAGGGGGCAGGATATCAGTACAGGTTATGGCACTTGCACAGTTGTTGGAGAGATTAATTTTTTGCTATTGAGATGCCTGTGTCGCCATTAGTCGCTTTCACCAGTGCCATAAATCCTTGTGATGGCCGCATTGAGAAGGCAAAAATCAAATCATTTTCCATTTATCTTCAAAGCACCAAGTCTATCTGGACATGGATTGGCTATTTGCGAGAATAGGGGTCCTGGTCTGTTTGAAAATGCTTAATGGAGCTTCACAGCAAGTTAATTAAATGAACCTGCTTTTGCGTTATTGTTTTAATCTAATGCCCTGGGCGATTGATCTTAATAAGGTTTGCAGCGTTTTTGAACTGGAGAATGTATTTGTGTTGATGCTTTAGTTGTAGAAATTATGTCATTCTTGATAATAATAAAAATAATCCTTACGTTTTGCAACAGCACCATTCACGTTGGAAGGATGTCTCAAAACATTTCGGAGGATATACGATAAAGTTTAGTGACTGAATTTTATAGGCAAACAGCCTATATAGGAATAGGAAGCAATGAACTGATACAGGAGCAAGGCGAGTTGCAGATGTGCTGACCGAAAGGAGGGTTTGAAAACAGGCAGGGAGGTAATAATAAAATATATAATAAATAATCCTTGCATTTGATGTAGCGCCTTATCAAAGCACTTCACAGGTGAAACCTGAAGATGTGGAAAAAAGGAAGGTGCAAGGCGGAGGGATAGAGGAAGAGTGTTCCAGAGTTTCGGGGTGTAGGAACTCAAAGCGCTATCTATAAACTTTAAACGCTCAACCGGAGCCACCTTTAAATGAGCCTTTCCTTATTAAAACCTGAATATTTTGAGGGCAAACGTGGCGGGCTGCAGCTTTAATTAACTTGTGTAACAATTTAAGGAGAAAAATTGAAACTGACTCCTGGAAACCAAAGCAATCTAGGCAGAACGGAATAATTAATTCGCTGAAAGACAAAGATAATGCGCGTATGTAAAAAAAAAATATTTACATTTCCAATTTGTAGCCAGTTAATAATTTCTGTTCCTTAACATCTTTGAGAGGAAAGGTCATGAATTTTAATTGGAGTTTCAGTCCAAATTATCGTAATTGCTAATTTAACGGTCACGCATTTGGCTCTGGAATGCAGCATAATCCTGCAAAGTCTTTGACAGTGTCGTTCTCCGTTAGATGTAAAAGCAGTTTTAATTGAATAAAATGCGGGGGGAAATATAACCCTGAGTGAATTAACTCTGTATTTATTGAGTGACGTTTACCACTTAGATTTTCAGATTCATTGATACACCAGTTGACTGCATAAAATGAGGTGCGTTCGTTCACAGAATAAATTAGTTGTACACTTTGATGTTGTGTTGTGGAATATTGAGAAAAGCCTGAAGGTGCTTAATTTGGCAGACCCATGTGTGCATTCCTTCTGGAGATGTGCAGCATTGTCGGAAGCACCCCATCCTTCAAAAGAGATGTTAAACTGAGGCCCTGTCTGCCTGATCAGGTAGATGTTAAAGATCCCATGACGCTATTTGAAAATCTCCCAGGTGTCCTGGTCAACAATCCCCAGATAAAATTGATCACTCGCTTCATGGCTGTTTATGGGACATTGCTTTGTGCAAATTGACTGCCACTTTTGCCCTCAAAATATTATTTATAATAATATATTGTTCCATTGCATTTAATATCTGATAATATGTACGGTACAGTCAATTCACTTTACAGTATATTCTGTAAAGCGCTTTGAGACGTCCTCCCGATGTGAAAGCGCTTTACAAATATAATTTGTTGTTGTTATCTCAGCGATTTGATAAGGTACTATGTCAGATGTAAAGATTATTGTATTATCATGAACCATTGTTTTGCTTCATTCACACTGGTTCAACAGAAGCAGTTTGTGATCTCTTTTCTCTCTTCCTTCCTTTGCAAATGTCGATTTTGAATGATGTTTCTTAAAATTCAGTACAATGGCTGATGCATTGCGGGTCATTCTGTATTGACCCACCACTTCAGTGTTATGTCTTTAAAAAAGAATGTTCTTCCATGCTGTTGCCCTGATCTTGACGTTGAACGCCGTCACTGAAACCTTTTCTTTCTTCGCGGCTCACCAGACGGTCGGACGGATCCTGCCTTGGATGATCTGGGTCAGGCCTTCAAGCTAATGGGAATCAGCCTGTCAGAGCTTGAAGACTATATCCATAATCTCGAGCCCATTGGATTTGCCCACCAGATCCCGGCATTCCCAGTCAGCAAAAACAATGTACTTCAGTTCCCACAGACTGGGTCCAAGGAAGTCAACGAAGAGAGAGACTACATTCCAGAATACCTGCCGCCACTCATCTCTTCCCAGGAAGGTGAGCATTGAGATAGATGTAAGGTGTTGGAATGGCTCTTTGTAAAATACAGTAAACCTCACATAAGTCATATCAGTTGGGTAGATGTACGACTTAGGCGATTATACGATTTATACAGCTCAGACTTATGCAAGCTTTACAGAGGCTTTATTCTGAGGGCAGCATAAACGTTTGTCGATACCTGATGGTAGAACTGAAGGCACGAGGGCCAAAGCAGGAGGCCGGAGCCAGGCTAAAGTATAGCCAGCGTCTGAAGAATTGAGAGCTCTAGATGAGAGAATAGTCTGTAAGGCTGAGGTTTAGTTGTCGGCAAAGCTTTTTAAAATAGCAACAATAATGTATTTGTGGACGTAAACTCTTCTAAAACCTGCGGTAGGTAAAGCTTGTCTCTGGGCATTACAGCATTCTCCCTCATATATGTGTCAAGCTTCCTCTTAACTATGTCAAATAGTTTTCCAAAATTCAAAGGTTTTCCGCAATGCTGCGTTGTTAGATGTTAAGAAAATGCCATGAGTCTAAAACTATGAGAAATGTTCTCAGATGCAAAAGCAATCCATCTGACAGGATATGGATAGTCTGATCTATGTTTTTTTCATTGAAAGAAATAGCTCTAGACACACACGTGCGCACACACATGCACACATATATACACACACAAAGGCAGACACACACACAAAGACACACACACACAGACAAGCGTGCAGGATCACCCCACACCCCCACCACCACCCCACCTCCAACAGAGCCTCCACCACTGTATGTGTATACGATAGACCATCAAAAGCCCAGAAACTTATCTATAAACTTATCTGCAAACTTTGCAGCAGCTCTTGAAAAGCTGATCACATTTGAGGATTGTGAAGCCAAAGGTTTATCAGATTGCGGTGGCTGAGCTTGTAGTGATTTGTTCAGGAATCTGATCTAGAAGGCGGGCAGAGTTATTGGGCTTTGTTTATTCCTTGCATTGGTGCCCGAAGCCTGAATATTTTCAGTTTCCCTCGTACATGAGTCAACTACAACTGCTGTATAGAGTACTGTCACTACAGCCTCGGATGAGTGGCTCCTTTGAAGACTCAGTGCAGACTTAATTGTAACGGTTACATCTTATGCTCCAGAGTTACATCTCAAATTGACTCAAGACTGTGTTGGACATTGAGCAGGGAGGGTAGGGGGACAATAATAATAATCCTTGCTTTTGGTATAGAGCATTATAACATAAGAATCTTGCCTAAAGTTTCGCCCCGCCTGGGAATCGAACCACTATGCTTCGGGACTCCATTCTTTATAGGAAGCTTTGCATTACGTTTTGCGAGCATTCAGCTTGCATCCCCATATTTTTCGTCCATCAACCCTAAACGGCAAGTATTTTTAGTATATAAGCATGGTGGTGTGGTAGGAGTGGGGGGGGGGGTGCATAAATTTGGGGTCCAAAGATTTCTGTAGGGTCTGATTTATCTGTTATGTATAAACCGTTGAACTTAATTTCACAGTTTCCATTTACTTTACACAGCCCCGAGCAGTGGAAAGCCGTGTGAATTATTCCTCACAGTGTATTTCCATTGCTGGGCTCAGCGTTGCATTGTGCTTAAGGAATTCATTAATAGGAGCCGGTATAGCAATTGTGGCAACACTGATTGATCATGGGATCCAAGAGAGATTTTTCTCTTAGCCTCCTGACCCCATCAAAATGAAATTGCGTGCCCTTGGTGTATACATCGGGAATTAGCTGGGATGTGAGAAGATGTGCCCGTTAATTGGAATCAACTATATAAACCGTGTTTTAATGGATTGATGCACTTTCACTGCATTAGAATTGTGGCTATTCCAGCCATGGATCCCTTTACCGCCTTTCCTTCCCTAAGGTCTCACGTGGTACTTTATAATGCGGTGTTTGGCCCAAATCAACTCTCTTTCCCTTCTCTGTTACCCCTGGAAAGCGATCTGCCAATCGACTAACAACCAAGTTCCTACTTACTGCGAGGTAAGCAGAGACGTGTGGAGTAAGGAAACTTGCCTAAGATTTCGTCCTGCCAAGAATTGAACCTGGGTTCTCTCGCTTGCGAGGTGAGCGCGCTAACCACTATGCTTCAGATAGAGTACAAATGGCTCTAATCCATTTCAAATTCTTGGCCTCTGCAGAACACACTTCGGATTCTAGATAAGGAAACCAGAACCACTTGTAATCCTTAACTTGCCTTGTGACAAAGCAGCAGATTAAACAGAAATTCAAAGTTCTTTAACATATCAATCACAGGTTTGAGGTTTAAGACAAATATGATTTTATTTGAATTACTATTTATCATTGAATTACAGAGTCTCGCGAAGACCATTGCAAAATATGTTTGCGGTTTGTGAACGAGATACTCTCGAGATTGTTTAAAGTGGATGGGGTGGGCGGGAAAGGTGAAACGGTTAAACTGCAGCAGATGGGAATGTGGCGACTGGTAATATCGGGCTGAGGAGAGAATTGTCTCAAATTCCCAGGTCACTGTCGCCCTTCACTTAAAATAAAATGTGATATTCTACGTGAACATTGTGCCTGGTTCTTCACAGCGCAAGTACATTTTCACGTTTGTAGCCCCTGTGTTTAAAAGACGTTTCTTTGTTTAGATTTTAAAGAACTGGCGTCTGTTGCTAGGGTGAGCATTGTATTTATTGATCAGTTTGAGAGAGAGAGAGATCCATTTATTTAATTCATGTTTTATACCACAACTGTGTTTTGCACACGATCGTGATAGAATAAACTCCCTTTTGTGGCGGTTACTATATCACTGAAAATTAGACACATGCGTGTGTGTAGGTTAGTAATTGATGCCTTGACACAGGGTCCAACCTACTCATCCTCGAGTTATGATATCATAATAAAAATAATAATGCTTGCATTTGATACAGCGCTTTATTACTTGTTGAGACATCTCAAAGCGCTTCACAGAATATCAGTGATGACATCAGTGGTAGAGAAAATTCTTGAGTCCTTAATTAAAGATATCATTATGGGATTTCTCGAAAACCATAACGAGATTAGGCAGAGTCAACATGGCTTTACAAAGGAGAAGTCACGCTTAACTAATCTTTTAGAGTTTTTTGAAGATGTATCTGCAGGTTAGATAGGGGGGAACCAGTAGGTGTAGTATATTTTGATTTTAAAAAGGCATTTGACAAAGTGCCACACAAAAGGCTACTGCACAAGGTTAAGGCCCACGGGATTAATGGGAACATATTAGCATGGATTGAAGAGTGGCTAACGGGTAGAAAACAGAGAGTAGGGATAAACGGGTTATTCTCGAATTGGCAGGATGTGACTAGTGGAGTGCCACAAGGATCAGTGCTTGGGCCTCAGCCATTTACAATTTACATCAATGATCTGGACGAGGACATTGAATGTAACGTATCTAAATTTGCGGATGACACTAAACTCGGTGGGAGAATAAGCTCTGAGGATGATGCAAAAAGATTGCAATGGGATATAGATAGGCGAGGGGAGTGGGCGAGTCGGTGGCAGATGGAATTTAATGTGGGGAAGTGTGAGGTTAATCACCTAGGTAGAAAAAATAAAAAAAAAGATTATTTTCTAGAGGGGGAGAGATTAGATAGTGTTAGTGTTCAGAGCGATTTGGGTGTCCTTGTACACCAGTCTCAAAAAGTTAGTTTGCAGGTGCAGCAGCGACTAAGAAGGCGAACGGCAGTTAGCGTTCATTGCAAAAGGTTTAGCGTACAAGAGTAGGGAAGTCTTGCTGCAACTGTATAGGGCCTTAGTGAGACCGCACCTGGAGTATTGTGTGCAGTTTTGGTCTCCTTATTTAAAAAAGGACATACTTACCCTCGAGGGGGTGCAGCGGAGATTTACTGGTTAGTTCCTGGGATGAGGGCCTGACCTATGAGGATAGGCTGAATAAACTAGGGCTGTATTCTCCAGAGTACAGAAGAATTAGGGGAGATCTTATTGAAACATATAAGATTGTTAAAGGGCTGATAAAGTAGGAGAATCTATAACCAGGGGTCACAGTTTTAAAATTAAGGGTCAGCCTTTTAGAACATAGTTGAGGAAACATTTCTTCACTCAGAGGGTAGTGAATTTATGGAATTCATACCCCAGAAGGCTGTAGATGCTCAGTCCTTGAACATCTTCAAGGCTGAGACTGATAGATTTTTAAAAAAATAGAGGGATTAGGGGATATGGGGACAGGGCAGGTAATTAGAGATAGGTCTGAAGATCAGCCATGATCTTATCGAATGGCGGGGCACAGGCTCGAGGGGCCGAATGGCCTACTCCTGCTCCTAATTCTTATGTTCTTATGTTCTTAATATACTGTGAAGTGGATTGACTGTGTATTTTGTGGGTGAAATGCAGCAGCCAATTGCACAGAGCGTGCCACAGTCTTGGATAAGTCATTTACAATTTTTTTTTTTTGGAGGGGTTATCCGCCAATCGACTAACAACCCGGTTCCTATGTACTGCTTGGTAAACAGGCGTGTGGAGTAAGGAAACTTGCCCAACGTTTCACCCAGACCGGGAATTGAACCTGGGTCTTCTCACTTGCGAGGTGAGTGCACCAGCCACTACGCTATGGGACTCCTCAACCTAAAGGGCTGCAACAGAGTTGTTCTCTCAAAGGTGCTGCCTCATCGGTTTTAGAATGGAGGAACCCCTAAATTTGGGAGCTAAGGGTTATAGTGTGAAACATAACCAAACCAGCGATGACAGAGTGGTATTTAATGCCAATATCTGCATGGGCTGCAGTTAATATGTGCATTCATTTAGTCTCTCAATCCACGACTGTTTGTGGGACACTGCTGTGCGCAATTGGCTGCCGTGTCTCGCTCACAAAAGTATAACTTTATATTCTGTGAAGCGCTTTTTGAGACATCACAACAATGTGATAAGGTGCTATATCAAATGCAAGGATTTATTATTAGCAGTGATATTGATGAGCCAGAAAAGTAAACCTATTTGAAAACTTTTAACTCAGGACAGTTTTTTTCTGCTAACGATCCCTCGT